AAAACGATATCAATATAAAAAAGAAATAAGAAAAATCGCAGCACTGTGTCGGGTCCTCTAAATTTAGAATTGCGTGGCTGATGGGTGTTGCCTAAATGCACCTGCTGGAGATTTTTTTGTGTGTACATGTACAATTTTTAAGAATTGTACATGTACATTTTGTCTTTTCGCGAAATTGTAACTTTTTATATTTTTGTACATGTACAATTTTCAAGAAATGTACATGTACAAAAGACAAAATTATAGGTCGTGTAATTTTATTTTAGACAGGCTGATATCGGCCATCGTACAGACCGAATGTGCCGAGTACAGGTCTAAATTTGCAGCCCTCCTCAAGCAAGTAGTGGCGTCTCAATATGAGTGAAAAATTCTCGAAGGGATATTAAACAGCAAATAGATAAAGTGAGTTGGTATATAAAGTCATACGACATAGATTGTGATAGAATGACGCATGCAAACTTGTTAGTGATAACCGCCACTTTTATTGTATCGCGCACATTCCCTAATTCGCCAACTTCTATCCTCATAAATCTATTAAAAATAATTGTAAGGTTAAAAATATTTCTAATTATGACCACCCAGCATCCATGCACGAGATAAACAAGTTTAATTTAGATTAAGTACTCGCCATCTTTTGTGAGAGTTTTCTATATCGATGTTGACACTTTTGACATGAAACTCTTTAAACAGAGAGGATAAAACGCAATGTAGAAACCAGCATGTATCGTCTGCAAGTTTTAACACCCGTTCTCGTTTCTCGATGACGTTCACCACTAAAGTAGATTGACCCCTCTGACCACACGAGATTTTACGTTATTTCCTCGTAAATGTGAGTACATTTAAGTTGAATGTACTCCTTCGTCAATGTAAATAAATTTGAACATTTATGAAATGAAACATCGCACGCATTTTTTTCCTCTTGTAATTTTTATATTTCAGTTCTTGTATATATTTAGACAATTGCATCAAAATTAATCGGAACTGACCCTATTTCTGTGTGCTACAGAAAGTCTGCTTTGAATTTTCTAAACATGGTTTCTATTTCGTTAGACTTCAGAAATTCGAGTGAGAAAATACATGCTCGCGTTCGTGATGTCTGCTTTAGTAAACTGACAGCTCTTTCTGAAGAAACGCAGAGTACCTACACAATTTTCAGATTCAAGATTTTAAATTGATTTTGAAACAGAATATATTTATTTTGTTAACGTAAGCAATCAAAACTATTTAGGGTTCACTGTCTAGAAATAATCAGAAGTCAAAATATTTCCCAGGGATGTGAGGTGAATAGTTTTAACTTTCGCCTAAGATTCTAGCATATTCTCGATTAAATTTTTTTAATCGTTATCGAATTTAAGGAGGTTCGATCCTGAGCTTTTGAGCAGATTTTGGTCTGGACATTTATTTATGAAATTCTGCATCATTTTTAAGTTCAAACATTAAATCTGAATTCTACAATGCAAATTAAACTATATCCAATGAAAAAACAGCAATTAAATTCCATTCAAAGAGGATTAAGCCAGGAACTATATTTTGTGGCGGAAGGTTTTTTAGGAGAAAATGATCATTTTGTGCCTTTTTGAAATATATAGTACTGTTAAGTTTAGATTCCTATTTTTCCATGTTGGTTGCACACAGAGCTGTTTTTTTTGCAGTGAAATGTTTTATGCTGGTTCTGAAATATCTATTAAATTATTTCTTATGAATTCTTTCATTATATCGCGACAAATGTAGTAAATATATTCTGAAAGTTCAGGAAAAAATTGAGCCAATTTTAACATAAAATTAACACTTTTTTAGTGATATCTAAAAATTTACATCATAGACCCCCACTTTTGTTTTTCTTTTCTGAATATATAAGATAACTTTGATCAATCTGCCTAAATTCAGAAAAAGTTTAAGACTTTAAAATAATTTTCTTGCTTGTTAAATTTTTAATGCCAGAAAAATCACATTTTGTGAGTGCAGAAAGGTCAAATAATTGATTATGCGAAGCAATTTGAAACTTTTTCTTAGTCACAATTTTGAAGTGTCTTTTTTTAAATAGACTAATAGTTTAATTTGTCCCATGATTTATTTTGATAAAAACATTGGAGGGAAAATGTCGAAGATGTGATTTTTGATTAAGACACAAATTTCAGTGCAAAAAGGTCAAATTAAATGTACCGTAGCGCCAAAAGAAGCGTATTGACCCCCATTTTTTGTTTTGATTTTTGATTAAGCTATGTGTGTAGAAACTAAAAATATACTTGACAAAAAAAGTTTAAGACTTTGAATATCAGGATCCAACCTCGTTAAAGACATACGCAACGTAGCTTGAACTTTATTGTCTTTTTCCCTGGAGTTGAAGAGTTCCAATACTTAAAGGAACTGTGTGCTATAATTTAATGTCTATATATGCTATTGTACACTTCTTCTAAAACAAGTTTGGATAAACAAAATATCCAGAATATACAATGTACAGTAATTTTTGTACATTTTTCTTTGAATTATACAAGAATTTTCATCAATTGATATCTTTTCAAAACCCCTGGTAATGCATACTGATTTTTTGTCTACGAACATCTGATGGCACTATAATCTTATATTAAGAATATCTTGAAAAATTATCAGTAGGTATGGTACGTTGCGTATGTCCTTAACTTAAGAACTGAAATATAAGCAAGCCTTTTCTAATTCACTCCATCTTTAACAAGAAGCAAGAATTCTCCATTATACACATTACAAATGATTGACCTCCATGAATTTTGCAACAACATTGTAGTAATAAAAAAAGATACATTCATAATTTGAGACACTCAAAGAGTTTAAGAAAATGATATGGCCGTTTTCCCTTTTGAAATTAGGCATGAAACTTTTCAGATTTGAGAGCAGAAAAATGTGATTATGTTTGAACTCCCGAGGAGTAATGTTAAATTCATACTAGAAATCTACTCCGCACAGATGTTTTTACAGAGGAAAATTATGAATTTTAGCATTTTGTTTCAGTATCATGGAAATGATAAGAGACTTTTAACAAGCTTGATTTGCATTTAAACAATCCGATGCACGCATATCTTGCGCATTAATTTCAACTATATTATATTTATCTTTGAAACCTATAGGACGCTGAATTCAATCCCAGTATAAAACGCAGAACAAAGTGACAAAGGTTCCTATGACTAAGTTATAGTTCAAGGCCTGTTGTGAAAAGAACTCAGTTCAAATAGATGGAAGCTGAACAGATAGAAAAAATATTGTTCATCTTTGATAACGATAAGAATCATATACAAATCTTTAATTTGTTGAACTCTCGATTTCCTTGAAAAATGCCCACAGTATTGCTTGAAATTGGTAATAACCACTCAATTTAATCTAATTGTGATTACTAGTACCTACATATTTACGTGTACGTACGAAAATATACAAAAAATAGCCAATTATTGTCGGATGTGCTAGCCAGATATATCTTTATCATATATTGCAAACAATGAATAAAGAAGATTGGCGAATAAAGCGAGCAAAATGCCTATTGTGCGACAATTAAGAAGGTGAAAAATTAAAATTTCAATTTCAATATGACACAATTTTCTTTGATATTTCATTTAACATTAACGTATACTTATTTGTAAAAACTTCACAAATCGCAACAATCTCACAAAGATTGAAATTATAAATGATCAATTCTTCATATTAAAACACATTTTTTTCCATATCAGTAGATCTTCGCTCCATTTTTTTGAAAGATGATTCTCAAAGTATGCGTAAAAATATACAACCTTTGGTTAACAAACACATGGAGCAAGGACCCGCTATAGAAAATGTACTTTAAGATGTATCTTTCCAGGAATTGAAGTTCATTTACTCAAGGGTCATATCACAAACATGATCTAGATGCTATTATTTGTTATGAGCGGTACAGCATAATTGTTAACGTGTTAGTCTCGAAGGGAAATTTGTTATACAGGATTTTAAATTGCTTGGGTTTGAACCCAAAGAATACCACGTAGTTTTTTTAATCATTGAATAAATTTTGTTCGTCATAATTTCACACCTCTCGTCACTAAATACTAAATTCACACAACTGAATATGATTTTAATATATTTGAAGCTATAAGCATTTTGCATGCCTTGTTCGACCATCACCTATTTCGTAGGTAGAGATTATGCTCTAGAGTCGCGGAGTAAGGAGTTGATCCTTACGTCGCTGGTTCGAATCCACTTTGGGACGTGGAGACTGGTCCTTCGGATGAGACCGTATAAATCAAGGTCCCGTGTCGCAGTAGGTGTTGGCACGAAAAAGATCCCTCACTGCTCAATGGCCCTAAGTGCAGAGCATAGGTATAAATTTGCAGCCCTCCACCGGCAAGTGGTGGCGTCTCCATATGAGTGAAAAATTCTCGAGATGGGCGTTAAACAACAAACAAACAAAAACCATTATACCTAAAAAGCTTATCAAATGAATCGTTTAAAATGCATATACATAATGAATCTAATTTTCTTATCAAGAAAAAGAAATGATTTTAGAATGTTTTAATGAAAAAAGTCAGCCGAGAAGGGGGAAAAAAGCCATCCAACATTAAATTAAAATCAATTTGGTTTTGTTTGATTATTATCAGGATGAACTAGCATAGAAATTTATCAGACAACTTTGCCCTGTAGACATCGAATATTTTTTTAAGTCAGCATATGCATAACTGTTACAGTACCCCCCCCCCCCCAAAAAAAAAAAAAGAAAGAAAGAAATACAGTAGATAAAACACCACCACCACCACCACCAAGTGTTTCCTCCAACTTTTTATAGATGGAAGGGATATAATTTTTTTTAGCATACCCTTCTCTATTTAAATTTCTGGATTGCCACTGACATTCAGCAGAGTTTGTACAGAAGATAATATGTAAATCATTGATTTAAGACGAATAATGAAAGTCATGTTCATAGAATTTTTTCCTTCAATCTTGCTTACCGGTCATACATAAGAAAATTTAATTTGATAAATTATCTCTAAATAATAAACTAGAAATTGTGCAAAATTGATTAATTTATTCCATTTTTTTTTTTAAATTTTCAACAATAATTGACACTATTTAAATACCTGTACAAAGAAAACAGACTGCTTAAATGTGTCTGTATGTACCACTACATAACAAGTATATATACAAAGTTAACAATGATAAAGGTAATACTATGTATTCATATTCACATAATGATGAATAAAACTTTGTCTTGAAAACTCTTTGGAAAATAATGAGTTTATAGTTTTAGCAAAACAACAAATACATAATAATTATTGACAAAGTCAACATGGTGCCATTTTGTTCTATTTACTGTGTAATGTGACAGATGATGTACATCTAGATTTTAATCTAAGAAGATGCAAGATGAATCAAAATGCATATACTTCAACTTCCTTTCTTGAAAGAAAAAGTACATGGATTCTGTAATGAAAATTTAATGTGCATATATTACAATGTGCTTTCAAAAAAGAACAAAAATAGCTGTTTTCTAACAATTTAAGCATTTCAAATCTAAAATAACTAATAAATTTTCAGTATATATATATCAAGTTAACTTTCCTTTTTCTGCAAGTCTGAAACTATATTACTCCATATGGAACATGAAACACTTAACAGAACCCCTCTACATATTTATACCAGGTTTAACCTTTTCATTTCAGAAAAAAAAAACTTTCTCACTGAAAATAGAGCTATATTGCTAAATTTATGTTCCATATTGAGCTAGCAAAATACAATATATTTCATCCAGATAGTATGCAATATAGTTGTATTTTTTCATTCAGTAATGGACTAAAAAAGTACTCTAAACCACTAATTTTGATCAGAATGCATTTTTAAATTGCAGTCGAATTATTACAATGATGCTGTACATGTACATAAATTGGCATATTCAAAATTTAGCGCAGTCACTGGGTATGGAGTTGGCGAAATCATAAATAAGAGCTATACAGGTCCGTACTGTATCCTGTATTTATAAATGATTTCTTAGCAGTATTCATGAATTAGTGCATCGGTGTCTGCACCAAAGCTGTTAAAATATGACGCTCGCTTTTTTAAGTACACATACAGTATAACTAGTAAATATATATATCTATTTATATTTTTTTTTTGAAAACTACTCCTAATAACATTTTAGGAAATGCCTTTTCTCAATTTTCTTTGAAAAAAAAAATAACATTAAAAATTTTCAAATTAATTACATGTTATTATTGAAAAGTAGTTCTGTTATCAAGCTTACTCTACATACTTTCCGAAAAGTCCATCCAAAATATTTTTGCTTCACAGAATCTGCAATGCACTCGTGATAAATGGAAGCATTCTAATCTGAATACAAATCATTCTGAAGGTTACTGTAACTTTGTTGAGTGTATGTGTGAATTTTTGGTGGTCTGATAGTACAACACAATAGTTACACTACAAATATCACCAACAGAATTACTTAACAAAAGTATAATAAGTCATAGGGATTTCTTTAATGTCAAAAGCCAACTTAATAAAAATAAATGGTGGTTAAAAAGATCTTAACTACATGTATCATAGACTTCCTCCTCCTTCACACATGTAAAGTTAGCACACAAACAATTGTTATTATGGATGCCATGATCAGGAAAGGTAACCATGTTTTCAGGAATCCACACACACTGGAAAAAACAACAACAACAACAAAATAATTAAGAAATGATTTTACAAAAACAGAATATCATGAATACCTCATCCTCATTTAAGATAGTAAATGCTAAATTATCTGCTCCAAATACATACTGTACTTAATTTTAATCCATTATAGTGAACAAAACCCTACTTTTAATATCCTTCAGTAAAGTGCAAAAGGGGGTTTTCCTGACTTAATTAAATACAAACAAAAAATGAAGTCAAGGATCTTTACAGCCATGCTGTTTCACTTCAAAATGCATCACAGTAAAATAATTACATTAATTTTCCGGGATTATAGCAGCAGGGTACTCCAGCTACATAAGACATTACCTGACATATTTCCCATGGATGAGCATCAGCAAACATAGAACCACCATGTTATAGTTGGACTTGCTATTGTAGTTCATTAAGTTCAATGCCATGGCAACGTGAGAGTGGCAATTATCACAACACAAATTATGCTGAAATAAAAATTGCGATGAAATGATACTATAGATTTTACAAAGTTCTTTATGTTATTAATTTAAAGTGAGTGCATAAGTCACATGCAAACTGAAAGTAAATGCTTTTTGGACTTCTCTTTTTTTAATTCTTTCTAAATGACCTTTGCTCTCTTTATGTGAACTAGCTGTCACCCATCTATCACACATCTTTTGTCTGTGCATTACATAGCCTTGAGGTTAATTATTTCACACCAATTCTTGTGACCTTGACTGAATGACTTTCGATAAAAAAAATTGGCAAACTTTCTGGTTATAAATAATCTTCATGGAAGTATGAAATATACATGTTCATTAAGTAAAACATCTAAATCATAAATATTTTATCTGAATAAGACTTTCAAGTTGAGTTGTTTATTTAAAACTCAATGAAGCAACTCTTTAAACAAGAGGTTCATAGACCAGTAAGGTCACAATGCTTACATGAGTCTTCGTTCTCTTCATGGCAAATGAATATAAACATGAAGATAAATGAAAACCATATACTGTGGTCATCAAAGTCTATGTTTACAACAATTTTATTTATAATACATGTATATTGAGGCCAATATTAATTTTTTAAATTGTATCGCTCTTGTTCTTGTGGATGTCAGTATATGTAACTATAAATGTGACTAATCATGGCCCAGTTGCTCTAAAGAAGAAGCTTTAACAGAATATTGTTTCCTATGTATTTTAATGCAAACCACCTTTGACCTCCTATTGCAGCCTCATCCTTATCAAGAGGTCACATTCTGTTTTCACCATTTTTTTTCTGCTTTAATACAATGGGTCTTGAGAAACTATTTTAATTTTTAAATGAACAAATCCTATTTTCATGATTTCTTAATTATCTCCCTTTGTCTCCCTGAGACATTGCAGAAAAAAAAATATATAACCCACATAACCAGGTAATGAAATTCTTTTCTGCAATGTTTGTACACGTTAATCCCGATATTAAAAAACAAAGAAAAACATTTTATAGTTTATGCATGTAATTATATCTATATAAATTATATGTTAAAAGTGGGTGAAAGTATGTAAATTATTGTATTGTTGGTCCATAAGTTACATTGATGGAAGAGCCATGACACAGTTGACACTTAATTCTTCAGAACTCTTTCATACAGATGACTTAATAAAAACTAGATCGAAGTACAGTCAAACCTTGTTATCTCGAACTCCATGGGACCAAGAAAAAACTTTGAGATATCCGAAGATTTGAGATATCAGGGGTAAAATACTTAAAGAATAAATGGTTGGGACTTTAAAATCACTTCGACATATCCATGATATTCAAGATACCAAAGTTCAACTGTAGTTTAGAAGTTGATTGTGTTAGTCACTTGATTATCAACAATCAATTTTCATAAGAAAAAAAAGAGAAAATAATCAGTTGAATGAGAGGATTTAACTATAAGCCATTGGACAAGGATCTTAAAAATAGAAGGAATAATTCAAATGTAACTCAAAGTATACTAGATAACAATCACTATGTTAAACAGGATAAGGATATACATTCAATATTTTCAGATTAGCAAAATTAAACAATGGAAGTATTGAAATGTAATATATAATATGTTAAATTTTAAGAAAACCGCTGTAACATGTAATGCTGAATCTTCTGCAGTCAGTGATGAGGTGTAAACTCAAGTTCTAATAAATAATATCATCAATAACAAAACTCCTTGCATAACTTATTTCTCATTAAACTAACATAAACTTTCAATGATAAACATTTATCTTCACAAATCAAAATATTTTTAGTGTATAACTTCGGAGAGTGTTTGCAGCCTGAGCAGAATATGGGGTTTTGAAATGATATTACATAATGTTTCGCACAACAGGAGTTCAAATCTCTCCTATTAAAAGTGCAGAAGCACCTGTTCCATGTACACCTTGGAAAATGATTAAACATTAACTGATATAGATACATCTGTTTATTAAATCAAAAATTAAGGCCATTTCATGAGCTGCAAGAATTAAAACAATTATCTGATTTTCTACTCCTATTGGAGTTTCTACTGCTTCACGCTGGCTTAATGCTGCAATCAAAGTGCTGATCATCAATTTTATTTCCCAGTGTTTAGTTAAAATAGCAGTTTATGGTTTTTTATATTTCCCTCCCTTGAGGCTGGGTAAAAAATTGTAAATTACTGATAAAATCAAATTGTACATTTTAACTGCAGAAATGTGAATTGTTCATTAGATAATCATGAATGGGTAGGGCAAGAATCTTTTATCATTGCAGTAGATCATATGTAATCTAAAATTGATATTAAGTAAACAGACTATCCTTAGACAAAAATATCTTTACCTTAATTGATTCAGAATTAAATTTTTCAAAATTGCAAATGCAGCATTTTTTTTCTCCAGAAACTGATTCAGGATCAACACAGTGACCTAGATATATTTGCTTGTGCATACAATTAGGTCAGATGAATTTATAGAGTATTGTAAAATTGTTATTATTTTAATATGTATTTTACTATTGAAGCTTTAGTATTTAATTTCAAAGTATTTAATTAGTAACATATACTGTTTTAGGACTAGAAGATATTATGTGTCAAATTACTGCCAGAATAATAAACCAGTATTCAAAAATTCATTCTAACTTCTCAAATTCAATTGACTGGCTGTTCACAGCACAATCTACTACTGCAGGAGATCATGCCTCAAATTTGGCATCATTTCTGAAGATTAACCTAAAATATTCTGGGATTATTTTTAAAGGTCAGTGACTCCTCACAGCAGTTTTTATTTTATAATAAACAGTATTTTATGAGCAGTTGAGCTTTTGAAGCTAGAAATGAAATGCATCGAGTTATAAACCTTGTTAAAAATGAGTTTCTCGTTCTGACAGAGACTGTGTATTACCATTCTGTGTTTGTATTCCTCTGAAGCTTCTGCCACAGACTTGTCCCACTTCTCCTTGCCTTTGGGAACATTGTTTAGATCCAGCTGCCAGTATCTAGTGAAAAAAGGAAGTCTTTATAAAGAAAGGGGGACAACCCTTACTTACTTATTTGTGTCTAGTTGAGCGTCATGTGTTATACATATTATTTTCCTTCAATTTTCACAAGTTGAGATACATATGTTGGATATACCTTGTGGTACATTCATGTATAAATACACCTCCAATGTAAAAAGAATATTTACAACAGCACTGCAATCTCTGTGGAATGTATTTTTAACTGCTACTATGCATCATTTATAAAATTACAATATCATTTGACAATGACCGATTCATTTGAAGACCACTTATTATTTGAAAGCAACCATCTGCTGATCGGGAGCTGCTAGTTAAATTTAGATTAGCTGTATATCAGAAGAGATGGAAAAGTCCTATAATTTGTTGAGAAAGCATCTCTTTCAAGTTTACCTGTTATTCAAATTTTTGGAAAAGAAATTTACTGAAACATCTTCATCCCTGTTTCAATTTTTAAAAAAAAATAGATCCTAAACATCTGTAATTTTTGATGTATTATTTGCATCATTTGTGTTTATTTTATAAATAAATTTAGTACCAAAAATCATTTCCGTTGGACTCCATGTTAATATACATTCATAAAACGTGATAAAAACAGCTCTGGGGTTTAACAAATTAACAATTAAATAATAACATTTGCAATTTTACAGAGTACCCGGGTACTCTATCGGAAAAATGTCCGAGTAACCGATTATCAAAAGTTGACCGATTTGACATCCCTAATTTTTTTTATAAGATTAATTATATACATAATATATGATTCAATCAAAAATGTGTTTTCAATGTGAATTGTTGCAACTCTCCATTCCAAAAAAACAATGGAGGGCTCCAACAAATTGAGTGACATTACAAGAGGATTTTAACCAAAAATCCTCCCAGGGAAAATTTAAAACATTGTATAACAGTTACATGTCAGATTTGGTTTTGGGTGAATTTACAATTCTTGTTTCAATATATGATGGTATTTCGTCGAAAATAACATGGAGTTACACATCAATTCAGCACAACAATTAACAAAATGCAAAATTTGTATATAAAAGGTTCCAATAATTCAATTAATATTCTGTGGAATTAAAAATGCCAAATTTCTTGATTAAAATACATTTTCAATTAAAATATACATACAGTCAAACCTCGTTATCTCAAACTTGGTGGGACTGAGTGAAAGCTTTGAGATATCTGAGGGTTCGAGATATCAACGGTAAAATACTTAAGAAATACATGGTAAGGACTTCCCAGTCACTTCAACATATCCAAGGTATTTGAAATATCTGTGTTCGAGACACCAAAGTCCAACTGTATATTATATATTCTCTACTGTATATATAGTATACACAGCATTTTTACTTTTCACATTCCCTAAAATGAAAGTGAATATCTAATACCCAAATTTAAACTCTCAGCAAATCTAATACATAAACCTAGTTGATAAAAAAAAATAGTGTGGTCATGTGTAATGACACTGATTGTGAACAATGCAATCCACTTGGGTCCACCAAAAAAATTTGAATCTTCATTCAACAGAATTTATTTTATACGAGTATATGTGAACTATGAATAACTGTTTAAACCTCCACACATAGATTGGTTTATAAATTATTCCTTCCCAATCCTTACATGTTATGATGTATAAGGGCAAAATTAAAGGCACAGAACATAACCTGGTTTGATGCAGCAAAGTAAGTAAGTATTCTTATAGGGAGGAAATATGCAGCAATTACATGTATAGTTGCTATCAAATATAAAACATATACTCACTTAGTCGGTCTTCCAAAAGCCATATCATCTTCCTAATAAATCAGAATAAAAACACTATCTTTACCAAAGTAGTTTTTAATTATAATTAATGATTCAAGCACCAGTGAAGCTTACTATTTTGAAAGCAATTCATTGTGGAAAGAACCAAGAAATGGAGGAAAATTGAAGCTTCAGAATTTCATCAATATGGACATAGATATTACCGAAACAAAGTATGGTCCAGCAAAATCCCTTATGACTCCTGCTGAAGTAGCAATGCCCATATGCCCAATAAATGGAAACAGCCACCTGAAATTTTGACAAGAATTTCAATGTATATGTTTTACCTCACAATTAGTTTAAAAGTCAAGGCCATATAGGTATATTATAATGGCACATTTTTTTATTTTTTGAGATGACATAAAAATAATGGCAAATATCAACATGTCAAATATCATGTGTACGTTAAAGTTCAAATTGCCTTACCTGGATTTGATTGTATGAGAAGAGTAAGATGTGACCTTGTGAACTTAATCTTAAACTTTAACCTTCAGTACTTTTTAAAATTTTAATTGGTAATAACTTCTGAATGAGAGAAGCTAGGGCTTTCATATTTTACATGTACAACACCTTTCAGAAACAACTATAATTTTTGACTTCAGGACCTCAACTGTAGCCATGGTCTGCTTTGGAAAGAATGCTTTGATTAATCTTGTCTACGAATGACTGAATTAATGGGGTTTTTTTTCAAATACTTATGTACATGTATATATGCAGTGGTTTCCTATAAATCACCCACTTAAGCCATAAGAATTTCAAGTCTAAGACAGAGTCAGAGAGGTGCTTTAGTATCATGAAAACAAAATGCAGATGACTGGAGACAGAGACTCCAACATGTTACACTGTTTACTATGGACCTGCAATCTTTTACAGAATTCAACACTGACCATGGGGATTGCTGAAATTCTAAAAGCTGCAAAAGTTGTTTGCCATAATTTACACTACATGCAGTGGTACATTTGTTTTTAAATTACATTTGATTTGAAATTTAGTAACAAAAATGAACCTTTTATGTTGCTTTTTGGCTGATATTTTGTACGTTTTTTTGATGTACAGTATTTTTACCCAAATTGCAGTATTTTCAAGGCTCCTGTACAGTATTTGCTTCTAAAATTTATCACATGTATGAACACGTACAAAGTGGAGCACACAGCTTGATTGGTGGTCATACACCTAAATTTCGCTGGTTTAAGCCCAGCTGTGGACACTTGTTGTGTATTGTGTCCTTGGTTGTGTGTTGTGTCCTTAGACATGGCACTTTATCTGCATTGTCTCAGCCAGAGTCAGTCAACCCAGCTGCAATGGGTTAACCTATGATGGAGTGTCGCATGGGGGAGTCAATGACTCTCATCTGCTTAGCTCCACATAAACCAGGTATAAGCACCTGCCTTATGAGCCTCATGACTCAGAGAAGGATGTAACTTTTAACAACATGATTGTACAAAAAGTGTATATCTGTATAAACTGTTTCTCTGAGACTAGTAGAGGCCAATCATGTTTTTTTTTTTACTCCTATAAGTAGTCATTCTTCTCTATTCCTCAACTTATCCAGTGGATAACATTCAGTCCCTCAAAGTGTAAAGAGACAATACTCACATATTTTATTTCATTTAACATATTCAGACACTTCAAAATTCTAGAGGCGTTCCAAGAAGATTAAAAATAGTTTTGGGATGATTCAAGTTATATTTAAATTGGAATGTCTGAATGGCTGGAATTTGTCATTTTGAATCGGGTTTTAGTATTTGCACTCAGTTCCGGGTAGTTAACGAAAAGTTTGAAAACATGTTTAAAAATCACGTTTTAGGAATTATTTGCAGGATGTGAGGGTTTTTACAATAAGTAATCAATGTTACGAGAAGTCCAGTGCATAAAGATCGGTAGGTGCTGCGTTATTTTCAAAGAACGAGCCATGTAAACAAGCGAGTTGAGCAGACGCCATTACGGAGCCTGCATACCTTATTTACTATTTTACATATCAATAAGGTACATACATATTTATAAACCAAGACCCAAATACCTGTGTTTCATTTAGGGGTTAACTGTCACTTTCATCCTTTTTTTTTTGATGACTTTTTAATCTATTCTAATGGTATGAAAATTGCTATGAGATAGCTCTGTCAAATTATTTAAAAGATAAATAATTTTTTTTATCTAACTGAGTTGTTTATCTAACTACTTAACAATTTCACTTGGCTTGATTAAAATGAAACCCTCTATCACCAGGTCTGGTACAATCACTAGATTTAGCTACGTAGCTTGAATTACCTACATAGCTACATTTACCTACCTGAAGTAGCTTTATTTAGCTACTAAATCAAACTTATTTCTTAAATAAGAATTTTTCCCAGAAAGTGCAGAAAATTGCACTTTGATGCAGTGATAATTTTCAACTTTGAACTCAACTGAAAACAATTCACGAAAAAATCATTCTTGGAGATGTGTCTTTATTTGCGCAATTGCAATCAAAGTTCTAAAAGTTTTGGGGCTATATACAACAGTTAATTTGTGACCTAACAGTTACTTTTTGAGTGTAATAACAAAGAAAACCAGTTTTGGTTAACATGAGCACAATGTGAAGTAATCATACTTATCCACGCCTCATCGCGCACAAGGTGTGTACAGTTACTCAAACAATGGGAATACATATTTCCCTTAAAAGTGATCAAACGCAGCAATGTTAAAACTATCTCTGCTTTAGATTGCTTTTTAAATGATACCTAGAATAAATATTAGTAGACATTTTCTTGCGACTTTTTGTCTTTTTAAAATAAAAAGCAAAATTGTGAAAAGTTGGCTTGAAATAGCTAAATAAAGCTACCTGAGGTAGGTAAATAAAGCTACGGTAGGTAATTTTAGCTACGTAGCTAAATGTACTGATTGTACTGGACCTGATCACCATCAGAACTACAGAAGTCAATATATACCTACGTTAAACAAGGAATAGGTGTCCAAACAATGCAGTGGGGATATCTGCATTTATTATGATCTATTCTCACGCCATTGTGGGAAGGTAGATAGCCTGTCATGTTGTTAAATGCCACTTTTTCAGAAGCTGTAGTTTTGTTTGTTTCCCTGTCATCCATTCCTCTGGGAGAAGTTATTTTTCATTTTTTATGCATGAAATTCGTGTACATTGGTGCTTTCAATTTTCATAGACCTGAAATCATTAAAACAATTTTTTATATTAAGAATGAAATGTTCAATTACTATTTTTTAATCGGGATTTTTCATTTCTTTTAACTTTTCATCTGTATTATTTAAGCATGTGTGTTTATTTTATAAATAATAACTACTCATTCGCCCTTTACAGGAAGTACAAAATCAATATTAAATGAAGAGTTGAAATTATTATACGGAATTATTGTTTCCGTGAAGCAAATTTATGAAAAATATTTTGCAGTTCTGTAATTCTGTCTGTGACAGTGCGAGTGCTGATAACAAAACCTAGCAATCACTTAGTTAGAAATAAGAACGTTATGATGAATGATAAGACATTTCTGAAAATTTAAGAATACTGATTTCTTTTCCGGATTTTGAAAGGTTGTTTTCTAACTCGGTTCTATGGCTTAATTAAAAATATTTTATGATAATTTGTGTCCGGTAAAAATTACTAAAATTAAGAAAGCACATGAATCTTTGAATTCCTTGCGTTTGTATTTGTTTTAACAGTATATTTCTCTCAGATCCCTTGCACTAATTTGGGCTAATAAGAAGCATATTTGATAAAATAGCGGGAAACACCAATCATTGACCGAAGGTCAAGGTTATCTTGTTCCTGAAAATAGCGTGTGAAATTATTTATGGTGTAGTTGAAACATTTGTTGATGCCAAATGGGCACCGGGGAGACGACCTCCTATCACTTACGGAGGATAGGACCCTCCGCAACATGCATGAGTATCGGTAACAACATGAAGTAAGTATTAACATCTTACTTTCAGTTTTGGAAAAATACTTGAAAAAGCAAACAAGGATGACAGATCAACAATGAATCAACACGCCATGATTGCAGTAATTAATTTCACCACTTCGCATTTCACATCATAGGTGGAGTTACTGAATATGTTTAATACCTAAAAAGAAATGTACATATCGTTGAAGAATTTACAGATATGTTACAAATGGTGTGATTTTCAAAATATGTGGCGTTCATTTAATTATCAGCACGCATAAAAGTACGTTTCATGATGGAGAAAAACTTTCAGAGAGACGGCAGTGTGTGTGTGTACTTCTGTACATTGATTTTCATGTGCATTTTGATGTGAAGTAATATGTTTCATTTAATTAACTTCCTCATGAAAGTGCCTTTTAAAACCGGGACACAAAAAATTCTGTCTATTGAAGTTAAAAATTAATCATTTTTTTCATTGAATTCCCTGTTAATAGTAATAGTTAATTCAAAAGAAGTCCTTGCAGATATCTTTAAAGCTTTTCCATAATTACTGAAATAATATTTTCTACTGCATGATACTTTGGCATGTGTTTATCTTCTTTAAATGACATTATGTATATATAATACTTCCTTTTACATTACATAATATTTATTGCATATAAGAATAAAATGACAAGAAAACTAAGACTGATATAGGAAATTGATACAGTTTGCATTAAAACTTGTGATGTTCATGAATCAGAGTGATAAAAAAAACCCCCAGGAGTGCCTGACTAGTGGGTAGATATCAAATACTCTACAGATATCAATGTGATAAACTAGATGGGTACCAGGTACAATATACTTTTGGAAAGGAGGGGGAGGGGTCAGGTTGAGGAAATTAATGAGTCAATTTAAGTGCCAAAGAATCTGTGACAGACATCAGAATTTATTTTTCTTTTGAAACTGAAAAAGAAAACTGAAGTTTAAAAAAATTACATACAAAAATATTTTTTCTTCATATACAATTTGTATTAGCAAATGTTATGGTTACCTAAATAGTACAGGTAGTGGTACATAAAAAAAATTGTTTCATCATAACAAAGAGGGTCAGTAACCAGAGTGAGTAAATAAAAAAAATATCATGCATTTCGCATTATGCACAAATGTTTATTTTAGAGGCACAAAATTATTGAGCACAGTAGTTTATTTTAGAGGATCACACACCTGTTGAGGAATTCTTCAAGGTATTTCTTTTTATTTTGTTTTTACAGGTTAAAATATGGGGTGACCAAGTTTGGACGAGCAACAAGCAATGACTACTATTTAGACTCTACCAAACTGAAGAACTTCATTTCTCGAATCCATGCTGAAATCCATGCAATTCCAAATGAAAACGGAGATATGCAGTTTAGGATTATTGATAAGGGCCTTAATGGCACCTTTATCAATGACACAAAGGTACCTCAGTCTTATGCAATATGTCAGATCTTTTGATTGCTTTTATATATATACTCGTATATTTGTGGAGTTTGTAAGAACTCTATGGGATGCACTTAACATTGGAATGAATGCTAATTTTTGCAGCTTAATTCATGTCTTAGTGCATGATGTATTTTATCATTTTTTCTTTTGTACATATGGAAATATTTCAAAAATTTAATTATTTCCTTGAACATTTACAGTAATGTACATATTATGTCATGATTTGAATTGATACACAGTATAATTGATAAGCATAATTATAAATACACGTACTATAAAAGACATTAAATGGAAAGGAAGAATATCACTCTATAAAACCTTTTTATGTGTATAAAATAATCACAATACTTTGCAGAACGTTGCATCCATGTATTTGGCATAAAGAAACTCTAACAATTAAACCTTTTTTCTAGCTTTAATATTTATGCAATTAATTTTTCATATTCAGAAAATTTTACAGTTGTTTCATTGTTTGAAAGTTTTAACTTCCTCTGTTTGTTTTTGTAGATGAGTGGACCATACATTTTGAAGGAAGGAGACAAAGTCACATTCGGACACACAAATGGTTATAAACTGAAAGCTGGGGATTATGCAAAGCAACCAAACTCAGAGTTTCAATTTATTGTGAGTTTACAATTAAATATAAATGACGCAAACAATTTAACTATTTATGTTATTTTACATAAAGAATTTGCAGTTTTCATTAGTACTTATGTTAAACAAGTATTTAATGAGTGTTTGATTGTTAAAATAAACCAATGATTTCAGTTTGAAAAATTGGTGCAAAAAGAAGAAGAACGAGGGTTTAGGACTGGTGATGAGGCAGCCATCAATGGTAACTCGCCAATGAATGCCTCAAGTAGTGCTAACACCATCACAAGCATCAAGAAATCGCCCAGTAAGACTGACCAAAAATACAATCTCTCAAAAGACTCAACAGTGGGGTATATGGGGTCCCCAAATGTAAACAGGATCTCTGGATTTGATCTGAAATCATCGCCTTCTAACAGTGATGAAAGTGATGATGATGAAGATGATTACAATTATAAACCTAATGTGAATACTGTTAGCAAGAAGTCGCGTTCTGTGCTAAGCAGAATGGACTATAGTGATGAAAGTATGGATTCTAGTCCCTCTCCTAAGCCAGTACGAAAAAACACTGGTTATCAGGACAAAAAACAGAGCCCCAGCAAAGTGAGAAAGTCTGCAGACCGATTGTCAGGGGAAAATGGATTAATACCGTTCAGTGATCTAGCCAGGATGGATAAAAGTAAAACAAAGACAAGCCGAGTGAATGTAAATATAAATATCAATGTGGAGTCTACTGTGAAAAACAATGGTCGGCGAAATAGCAATTCCATGAGAGAGAGGGACACACCGCCCTCAAGGACACAAGTGGAAATCCCAAGCAAACATAGCCGAAAGCTAATACATGATAAACAAAGGGCCAGAAGCAGGTAGTTGTTGAGCTGGAAGAGTGTATATCATGTATATATACAGTTGATTATGAATTGAATATAAGTATCTTATTCAAGCACAATCAAATGAGTTTTATAAAATTTCTTTGTAGTTAATTTGTGTAATGCTTACCATATAAAATTTGTAAATGTTCTTTAGTTCATGCATGTTCACATTTGATTATATATATGAATGTTTTTCATGCTGATCCTTAAACATGAAACTGATTAAAGTAATTAAGTTCATGAATGAAAGAACTTTGCAGTGACTTTGGACATTAATTTTGCAGCAGCAGCTCATCCGATTCCAATGATCTACCATCTCCAGATGAAGACAGCAGTCAAGATAAATTTAACATCTTTTCTAGTGAAGAAAACACTGACAGTGAGTAGCTTACGTATCCTTATGCCTAGAAAACACAATAATGAGTTGTTTACTGTATACATGTATCCTTATTCCTAAAAAACATGTGTATCCTTATTCCTAGAAAACACTGACACTGAGTAGCTTACATGTATCTTTATCGTAGAAAACACCAATAGTGCGTAACTTAAATGTATCCTTATTCCTAGAAAACACTGATAGTGAGTAACTTACATTTATCCTTATCGTAGAAAACACCAATAGTGAGTAGCTTACATGTATCCTTATTCCTAGAGAACACTGACACTGAGTAGGTTACATGTATCCTTATTCCTAGAGAACACTGACACTGAGTAGGTTACATGTATCCTTATTCCTAGAAAACACTGATAGTGAGTAACATACATGTATCCTTATTCCTAGAGAACACTGACAGTGAGTAGCTTACATGTATCCTTATTCCTAGAAAACACTGATAGTGAGTAACATACATGTATCCTTATTCCTAGAAAACACTGATAGTGAGTAACTTACATGTATCCTTATCACAGAAAACACCAGTAGTGAGGAGCTTACATGTATCCTTATTCTTAGAAAACACTTACAGGAATAGCTTACATGTTTAAAACACTGATAGGGAGTAGCTTGCATTATCCTAGTCTCATTGACAGTGATTAGCTTACATGTATCCGTATCCTAGAAAACTCTTTAGATAGCTCATTAAACGAGCTTGTAGCTTATTTGTATCACTAAAAAACACTGACTGCAGGCAGTTTACACTAACTAATTAGCCTATATTTGACCTTGACAGTGAGTAGCTTCATCTCTGATCTTACCAGAAAAAACAGTAGCTTACAGACTCTCTCTCTCTCTCTCTCTCATTTATGTGATATATAATATATAGATGAATGCATCTTTTATATTATAAGACATTACATACTTACATGTAGAATTTACAAACACTAATAAGGTGAATCCAACAAGGGCAACACTCAGCATTATTTTAAACAAGAGTCCTGATGTTATATATCTATACAACATACTTGTACCCGTGTTTCATTTAAGCTGCATTGCCAACAAAGTTTTACAACATTGTAATGTAAATGTATTTACATCTGTATGTAATATGCAGAGGAAATACTTGTACCCATGTTTCATTTGTAAGCTGCATTGCCAACAAAGTTTTACAATATTGTAATGTAAATGTATTTATGCAATATGCAGAGGAAATTGCCAATCAGATTTCACATGCTATTCAAGTCTTAGAGAAAGAAGGTATATTCTCTTATTTCTTGTTAATATGCAGGAATTGGGGCTAAGGAAAATAATGTTTACATTATGTGCACCATTGTTAAGTTTAGAATGTTTAATTACTTCTTGGCACATGTTTGTATACCATTCCTGGTCTTATGTAATCATGGTAACTAGTATTGTGCAGACTCCCAATTCTGAAAGAGACTGGCACTTTTGGGAAGAATATGTTTACAAATTTTACTGGATTTACTTGTTATATGAATTCTTGTTCAAGAAAATGACTAAAAATGCATGTAATATTGGATACTAACACTCTGATTTGTACTATTTTAAGTCTACACTTTGAACATGCACACTGACCAATTGCTGTAATTCTGCATGTTTGTTTAGTATTTTAGTACTGACATACTTTGCATTAAAAAAAAATAGACGTATGTAATATAAGACTTATGATATAAAGTAAAGAAATGTATAGATTATTAGTTTTAAAAAAATCTGTACAAGCATTAGCTCATTTTCCTGTTGAATAAAGGTTGGATTTAAGAAAATGCCATGTTTGAGAAAATCAATGTTCTTGAAATGCACCACTAATTATTTATTGTCAGAATATTGAAATAAGCTTTTGTTGTTGAAGCGATTGAAGTGCAATTATATAGAAAGTTTAATCTACAGCCTTAGAAAATTTATTGCAATCATTGTTATGCAACCCCAGGTGTAAAAATGTAGATTGCTGAAATAAGGCAGTTCAACATCTGTGTTGAGTCTATTGATTATATTTTAATGAAGAAGCAGGCTAGAATGTAGAGAAAGCAAGAAATCAATAATGCCAGAGATATGTTCATTTTAAAAGTTACCTGTGAGACTTTTGATAAAAGAACTATTTAAGACGGATACTTACATGTATCAAGTGCATTGAATTCATTCAGAAGGTCAATGACATCTAGCAATGGGAAAGTGATATTAGAAACAAATAATGACCATAATATGATTAAAAAAAAAAAAATAAGTAATTAAAATTACAGGAACATGTATTATTTTTGGTCCTTTCTTTAATATCAGTTTATGCTTGATTAGTCTTGAATAATTTGTAAAGATTAATTTATAATTGAATTGTTACATTATGACCAAGAGAAACTGATTTCATTTATGATCAATTTTCAGTAAAAACTCTCAGCAAGAAGAAGACACCTATAGAAAAGAAAGCAGCCAAGCCAGCAAAAGTTCAGAGAAGCAATAGCCGGGGATCTGTGAAAGAAACTGCCAAGAAACGAAAACAAGCACCCACTAAAAGTATGTTACACACCATTAACATAATTAAAAACCATTTTTGTTTCTTTTGATCAGTCACTATTTTGATTTAAGAATTGGTTTTCCACAAAAAAAAGTATTGTACAATTCTGTATCTCAAACACCAATATCTCGAATACAATGGATATATCAAAATGATTTAGAAGTCCCCAACCACTTATTCTTTAATATTTTATCCTTGATATCTCGAATCCTCGGATATCTTGAAGTATTTTCTCAGTCTCATCGAGGTTTGAGATAATGAGGTTTGACTGTAGTGTAATACATATGTGTGGCAGTTTTATTTTACCTCAGCTCTCCTCTTGCAATGAAATGGAATGTTAACATTTTTTTAACCTTAATTGTAGCAGGTAAACCTGGCAGAAGAGGCCGACCTCCCAAAAAGAAAAAGAAGGACTCGGATGATGAAGATGATGATTTTGACGACGAGTTTGAAATTGAGGAGTCTCTAGAGGAAGGTGTTGAGTGGTTTGAGGAAGACAAGTGTGCCTCTGCTGATTGTAAACGACCCAAAGGAAAACGAGTAGGCTGGGTCAGTGTTGAGTCTATTATGCTTACTTTGATTATGATCAGAAATTTATTTATTCAAAACATCGTCTACCACTATATGAGGGGTTATCAAAAGTTCAAGGACTGGTGCAATAAAATCAATACCATGTAGGATGTGCTCACAAAATTTATAAAGATCGTAAAACAACATGTCATGAAAGATGGTTTGAAAATTTTAGTTTGATGCATTGATAAATTTTCAAATTATCATCAAGTACAAAGGTTTAACAAAGAAAGGTTGAGTTTGAATTGAAAAAAGTGGATGAAAAATTTTACTGTCTTTGTGAAGATTCAGTTCTCTGTTTTAGGTATGTTGTGATGATTGCGATGAATGGTATCACACGGATTGTGTAGGCTGTCGCTATGACCATGTCAAGGACACCAACATCAATTTCAGCTGCGGATGTCGATGAGAAATTCACCTTGTTTTTCAACTATAATATAGACATCATGGTTTGTTGTAAACATTCATTCTTCAAAACATTTTCTAGAATCAGCATTATAAAAGTATAGAATTTGTGTTAGAATATTCGGTCATTAACTTTTGACTGCCAGGGAGTTGTGTACTTCTAATTTTTGTTTCATCATTTTGCTTGTTGCAAAAAAATATAGGTTAAAACATTGTTGGTTAATATAATACATTTACAAGTGTTTACAATGTTTTGAGAACTGGATTTTTTTTTAAATACAACTTTTGATGTAGAATATTATTTTCACCAGAGCTTAGAGCATACGTCTTTGATTGTTTTGAATTCATTCAGTTATCTTGACATTTTTTACGACTTGTTTCATACATTTCGAAGCCATATTATTTGATGGTCAACAGATTTCTATCTTGGTCTATCTTGTTGAAGTATTTTTGTTTAGGTGGTAAGAACACAACTGTCAGGTTGGTGACCTTTACTCATTAAGGTTGGTTATATATTTATTTATTAATGCAGAAAAATGTGTGTATTTTTACCAACATTCTCAAGGAATTGCATATCTTACACTTACTGTAGATGTATTTTTGCCAGTCATTATTTATGCTATAGTGTAAATTGGATTCTATGAATCTCTGTCTATAGCATTATGTTAAATATATTTCTCTTTGTACTTATACATGTAAATTATCCAAACATCTATTGGCACATTTCACATGAAACTTTTTTTTTTCTCAATTCTATCCGATATGCCCCTGAAAAGAAGATACATAGACATGTACTGCTTGTTTTTCACATGAGCTAAGATCTCTCACAGAAGTGGCTGAAGTTTCTAAGCTGACCTTTCCTATGTGTATTTTGATTGAAGTTTGCCCATTGTATGTCTTTTTCACTGTCTTGTGACTTTCAAATTCTAAACCTTTGTACTTTTTTAACCAAACTTGGTACATACCAATGAAGGGGACTCAAATTGAATAGAAATGCATTTTCTCATCAAAGGCGAGATAAAATGAACATGGTAGAAGAATCTCTAGAACCATGAATCCAAAAATGATTAACTACCAGTATGTTGAACATTTATGAAATGTACATTTAGATATTTTCTTGTCATGGTCCCTGTTACTATGTTAAGCCAAGGTAATAGTTTCAAGTATTATATTTAAAAATTACATGTACTGTATATGCAAGCAGTTTAAGAGAGCATAGGTTCATGGGCCACATATTCAATCTGTAGATAAATCACGAGATTTAGTGCTTTGTGTTCTTGTTTTGTTTTTCATTCTTGTGATGTTGGATGCTTTTCATACTCTCCGACAGCAATAGTATGATGTTTTTGTGTGACAAACAATCTTTCTTTGACTGTTTTCCAGCTTGCTTTTCTGAATTGCATTTTTGTGTGAGAGATTGGGGGTGGGGGGGGGGGGGGGAGGAAAACTGTTTAGTCATGTTTGTTTGAACTTTGTTTTTGGCAGGTGTACTTCTGAAGTAAAGCTGAATTGCAGAGTTAAAGATAGTAACATTATGGCATAGTTATGTAATGAAGACATCTTGGATAAAAATGTGGATATAGCAAATAGTCTGGAAGAGCTCAAATTAGTTCCTTATATCCAGTTTAATATTTGTTATTTTAAAAGAGAGTAAAAAAAAAAAATCTTGTTATTAGCTTGTATTTAAGCATTTTTTCCATGTAGACATTTTACTGTATATATACATTTACAACTGTATATGCATGAATGAGCTTGAAATGTAATCATGCACATGTATATTCCTATTTTAAAAAGTTAGTTTATTCCATAGAAAAACAAATCTTGAAATTGAGAGAGTGATTAAAAACTTATCAGAGATCTCCAAGATTTGAGAGGTTAATTGAAACTTGGGTATATGGAAGTGTATAATTCAAGGTATTTCGTGTTCGAGATACTGAGATTTAACTGTGTATATACAAGGAACTTGAGTTTCTCCTTTAGTTACTTTTTAGTCTCAGTAGGATTTTTTTAGGAGACCTCTTTGAGCTGTTCATTTTGAAGTGTATATTGAATATGAATCTGTGCATTTATTTTGTCAAACCTTTGGGTTGCAATTAAAAAAAAAACAGCTTCTTGTGAAATAAATTCATCCTTCATTACACAAATCATTTTGTATAAAATTATCTTTTTTTTTTAATTTTTAGACATACATGAAGCATTGTTTGCTTTTACCTTGCACTGCAGGGAAATTTCAGTTAGGGATTTGAAACAATCATTCTGCCAACTCCACAATTTGTTTCTGCTATAACTAGTTCAATGTCAAGGATTCAGGCATGTGTTATAATATCAATTATCAATGAAAACTGTAAACCAGCTTTTGTTCAAATGCTAGAAATTCAGGTAACTTTTGATCTTTTGGAGTTCAAGGGATGTTTAAAAATGTTCTTGAGTTCAAAAGATTGAAATTAAAATGAAATCTGTAATTTTCAGGTCTGATCATTATGGTTCTGTATATTATAGCTACCAGATCTGAAAGTTTCATGACCTGCTTTTACACAAGAAAATGTTTTGCTGTGAACCAAATTATTGTATACTTATGGAGAATGTTTCCTCGGTCACAAAATCTGACTAATGTCCATTAAAAGTTATTGCAAATAAAAGTTGGTTTACAGTTATGGCAGTTGCAATTTCAAAGAAGAGCAATTTTTTGCATAATATATTTAGCATCTGATAATGTAATCCATTTCTCTAAATCTTTTTGCATAATTGAAGTCAATATTTTACTGAAAAAAAGACCTGGTTGATTATATCTTGCTTATCTTTCCCAGGATACCCCCCCTCCCTGTGGCAAAGAGATTCACTTATTTCTTACTATTTTAATCACTTGTTAAAATGTATTTATGTATGAATGTTCAGTATACTTAGCTTTGACTTAGAATTTAGCCTTTGCCTCAATACTCATATCTTTTCATCTCTTAGACGCTATTTAGCTTTGTATGTTAGAATTTAGTAGTGCTTATTATACAGGGACTGTATTCAACTCTGCTGCATGTCACTTTATACAGTTTTGTACTTAATGGTTTTTGCAAAGTTATTGGTTGTCAAGATATTGTAGAATTCTTGGTACAAAAGATGCATCTGCTTCTGAGATTCTGGTCTACAACATCTTTTTTTTATTGGCTGAGATTCTGGTCTATAACATCTTTTTTTATTGGCTGAGATTCTGGTCTATAACATCTTTTTTTTATTGGCTAGCAATATAAACCTGAGAGAGAAAAAAGTTTTTTGGAGTTTGAAAAGAGAAAAAATGTAGGTAAAAAACTACAACTTGTATTGTATACATAGGGCTCATATTTATGTCAACTCTTTAGGATTTATGAAAATGTTAATGTTTTTCAGATTTTTATTGCTGTTGATCTTTCATACTACATCTGAACCGAGAGTCTATATTTGTACTACACTACATCATAGCAGTCTGACATTGTATTACATTTCCTTCCAAACAGTTACTTATTTGGTGTATTGTTTTCATGTTTTTATTTTTTTGCCGTTGTCTTTAAGAATACATTAAAGATTTTATGTACTGAAAGACTATGATCGTTGACTTGAATAATATGTATATTTAAACACATCAGTGTTTGAATGAATGAAACCTTGTATAATAAAGAATGTTATGATAGACTAGATTTTATTTCTGGATTGGGTAAGCACAGCTATATAGAGACAGCTTGATTATCTTACTGTCAGGAAAGGGTATGTAATTGTGTAGCATATTGGTTGCAAATGATTTCACTCTGATTTTTTAAGTATTTATAACCGACACTGTTTTAAATGAAGATGTGAACTCATATTTTTGACAAATTTGAAGATTTATCCCAATTTTAAGGAACCAAGTTCATTCCAGAGTTCATACCAGAGACATGATCAAAAACTTTTCATTTAAGGAATAATTTTGTAGTTTTTTGATTTTTTGATGTGATCAAGCAAATGGCTTGCATGGTAATTTGCATGTTTATGCAAAAATTTTCAAAGTCTTAAGGGTCGTTTACATTTTTTTTTTCTTTTTTTTTGTAAAAATTGGTCAATTGATGTATAACTCATATTTGATTTATAAGTCTTCAATATAAAAAGACAAAACAAATATCATTATCTACAGGTACAGCCTAAAACAAATACAGAAAAATAGTGAAATATTAGAATTTTCAAAATCTGAGGGCCATAATTTCTTGAAAATAGATCAATCATCAGGAAACTTGATCTGTAAGTTATCAGTATCAAGATACATAACATAAATCAGCTCTTTATCTACAAGCAGCTAGGGCTAAGAAAAGTCCAGAAAACTGTGAATAAATTGAGAATTCTCAGTCTAAGGGTCATAACTGTCATAATGGGTCAATCAACACAAAATTTAACATGATCTGTAAGTCATCAATAGGAAAAACATGCCAAAAAATCAATTTGTTACCTTTAAGCCCAGCAAAAAGAGTTCTGAAAATGGTGAATAATTAGAAATTCTCAAAACTTTCCTAATATTGGCCAGTTAACATGATCTCGAAATTTAAACTTGATCTGTAAGTCATCAACATAAAGACAAATACCAACAAGATATGTTTGTGAAATGCTGATGGCAGCTGAAGATAAGTTTTATTTTTTTTCATTTGTAGGTCAAACACCAAGGTCAAGAGATCAAAAATGTTGGTACCCAAATAAAGGTCTTGTCATTCAGAAAAAATTAACCTTGCCCGTAACTTTCTTTTCAAAAGTAGGTCAAACTCCAAGGTCATGTCAAAAAATATTGGAACCCAAAGAAATGTCTTGTCACAAGAAATATAAAAGCCATAGCACCAACTATTCAAAAGATATAATTGCTAAGATTAATGTCTTTCAAAAGTAGGTCAAACTCCAAGGTCATGGAGTCAGAAATGTTGGTACCCAAAGGTCTTGTTCCAAGGAACAAACTTGTGAAACATGAAAGCCCTAGAACCAACCATTCAGCTAAGATGAGTTTTTAAGAAGTGGGTCAAACTCAAAGGTTAAGGTCATGAGGTAAAAATGTTGGTACCCACAGAAAGGTCTTGTTACAAGGAAAACACGTTGAAAAATGAAAGCCCCAGCATCAGCTGTTTAAAAGTTTTTGTTTTTTCAATTGCATTTTCCAGTGCACTTATAGTGGCAATAAATAAATTGTAAATACAACAAGCAAATTCAAAGAATTGTGGTCCCCCACTTTCAGTGTCTTAGAGGTTGAGATGCAGTTATTTATGGCATATTGTAACTGTCTTGTTTGTGTGTCCTGTCCTAGCTGTTCACCATTCTAAAAAAATAATAATTTTTTGAATTTATAAAAATTAGGGTGAAGATAAAATCTTCTCAAAACTGCATAAAACTTCAAGAGCAAGGTCATGAGGTCAAATTCCATATTACAATCCAAAAGGTCTTGTTACCCTCATGTTCATGTGAAAAAAAATTGAAGCCCTGTCTCTTCTGGAACAAAAGTTGTGGCCAAAGTTAAAATTTGATAAGTAGGTCAATCCTGTAGGTCAAGGTAATGAAGTAATTTATCTTTCTGAAAGGTGTTGTCATATGTAATGTACATGCACTATCTTGTCTCATTCAAACATTATTACCAATGTAAAAAAAAAAATTTAAAAACTGTAGGATAAACTTGAAGGCCAAGGTAATGAGGTCAAAAACCAGAGTACATTTGGAAAGGTCTTGAAACAGGTAATACACCAGCTGTCAAATATAAATGCCCTATCTTCTCTCCTTCAAAAGTTAGTAGCAATGATAAAATTTTTGAAAATTGGGTCAAAGTTCAACATCAAAGTCAAGGGGTCAAATATCATTAAACATTTGGAAACATCTTGTCATAGGTAATTCACTTGTCAAAGATAAACACCCTATCTTCTCTCATTCAAAAGTTATCACCATGCAATGTTAACATTTTTAAAAATAAGGTCAAACTTAAAGGTCAAGGTCAGGGGGTCAAAATTCATTGCATGTTCGGAAACAATCAGAGATAATCCACATTTCAAATATGAGCACCCTATCTTGAATTATTCAAAAATAATAAGCAATATTAAAATTTTTGAAAAGAAGGTCAATGTCAAGGTCAGGGGGGTTGAAAGTCAGAGTATATCTGGAAAGGTCACAGGCAATGTACATGTGAAAATTGAAGCCCTGTCTCTTCTAATCCAAAAGTTATGAGCAAGGTAAGAGCATCTTCGCAAGCCAAGAGTTTCCGATCCAAAATAATGAGTAGATTTTGGATCGGGAACCCTTGGATAGCAAAGAAGAGTAATATAGAAATTTTTGAAAAGTAGGTCAAACTTCAAGGTCAAGGGTCAAAAATCTTAGTATATTTGGAACGGTCATGGGTATGTACATGTGAAATATGAAAGCCTTAACTTAATTCTCATTCAAAAGTTATGACAATATAATTTTAAAATATTTTAAAAGAAGTAGGGCAAACTTCAAGGTCAGGGTCATGGGGTCAAAAATCATGGTACATTTGGAAATGTCTTGCCACAGGTAATCTATACATGTATATGACATATAAAAACCCTGACTTTTCTTATTCAAAACTTTTCACCAAGGTTACTGTTTTGGTGACAGATGATTGAGATTTAATGTCCCATCACTATACCTACCAAAGTAGGGGATAATGATGCTATTATTTTTAAGCTTTCACCAACCATTCACACACACATGCACATTGTAAGCACATTTGTACTTGTATTGACTATTGAGTACATATAGTATATTTAATCATGGACAGCCAAAGGTTCTATAGAATTAAGTCACCTGCTCATGAAAATAGAAAATGTTTATAAAACTGTTGTTTAAAAGTAATGGCCAATGTTAAAGTTTGGTTAAAAGTTTCTCAATAGTAGGTCAAACTTTAAGGTCATGAGCTAAAAAATTGTTTGTACCCAAAGAATGGTCTTGTCCCAAGAAACGCATGTGAAATATGAAAGCCCTAGCACCAACCATTCAAAAGTTCTGGCAAATGTTAAAATTTTTGAAGACAAACAGACAGACCAAAAAGTACCGGGTATATGCTCCCAAACCTTCTATTACTGATTTTAGTGCATGACTCTTCACTTGTTGGCAAATTTTGGAACATTTCAGTATAAGCCTTCTCAAGTATATATCTTAAAACATTTTTATTCTGAGTCAAGGTATAGTCAAGGTATAATAATGTAATCAAAACATTTGCATAATACGATTTGATAAGATTCATAAGGTAACGACTTGTAAAATTGATATAACTCTGATAAAAATAAAAGAATGACATTGTAAAACTGCATAAAATATTAAATTACCGAGTATTCACCAAGAACAAGGTAGGAAACATTAAGAAGAATGTCCAATATTTTACTAATACATGGCACATACAAATGCTAACAAGAGGCCCATAGGCCACATCGCTCACCAGAACACAATGGCTAAGAAAAAGCACAAATCAATTCAGTATTGAAAAGTTTAAAGGGGGGGGGGGGGGGCTTGAATTTTAAACTACCTGAGGATGCTTCCATATCAATATAACAAATGGCTTTGCTGTTCTTGAGTAGAAGATTTTTAAAGATTTTTTTTCCTATATATTCCTTTGTTAAAATTTGATACCCGATTGTGGCCCCTACCTACCCCCAGGGGTAATCAGTGGAACAAAATTTAATCTACACTAACCGATGATGCTTCCATATCAATATGACTAAACATGGCTTTGCTGTTCTTGAGACAAAGATTTTATCCTTTATATTCCTATGTAAAACTTAGATCCCCCATTATGACCCCACCCTACCCCCGGGGTCATGATTTGAACAAATTTGAAACTTTACTACCTGAGGATCCTTACATATCAATATGACTAAACAAGGCTTTGCTTTTCTTGAGAAGAAGATTTTTAAAGTTTTTTCCTATATATTCCTTTGTAAAACTTTGAACCCCCCTTGTGGCCCCACCCTAGCCCCCGGGGGCATGATTTGAACAAACTTAAATCTACACTATCTGAGGATGCTTACATATCAATATGACTAAACAATGTTTTGCTGTTCTTGAGAAGAAGATTTTTAAAGATTTTTTCCTATATATTTCTATGCAAAACTTTGATCCCCCATTGTGGCCCCACCCTACCCAGGGGTCATGATTTGAACAAACTTGAATCTACACTATATAACAAAGGTTTCCTATAAGTTTCAACGTTTTTGGGCCACTGGTTCTGGAGAAGAAGATTTTTAAAATTTGCCGCCAAATTTTCACTATTTCTGAATTATCTCCCCTTGAATGAGGGTGTGGCCCTTCATTTGAACAAACTTGAATCCCCTTCACCCAAGGGTGCTTTGTGGCAAGTTTTGTTAAAATTGGCCTAGTGGTTCTGGAGAAGAAGTTGGAAATGTGAAAAGTTTACAGATGGGCGGACATACAGACAAAAGGAGTACAGACAAAATGTGATCAGAAAAGCTCACTTGAGCTTTCAGCTCAGGTGAGCTAAAAATTATATACATGTATGTATAAAATTACACAAGGTGTACTCAAAAACCATACCATATATCTTAAAGTCTTCCTCTGATAGTAGTAATAAAATATCCTTGATATTGACTACCACACAATACAAACTCTTGAGATTACAATGTAAATGCCCAAATACGGAAAAAAAATTCAACATTCTGTCAAATATTTTGTAGAATTGTTTAACCCACTTCTTACATATAATTCTTTCCAGCATCACCAGCATCATTCTGTATTTTATACAAGTTATTGGTAATTAAGAATACAAGTTATGGGGTATAATTAAGAATACATGTACAAGTTATTAGGTAATTACTCAGAAGGGAAAAGTACATGTACTTGCAGCTTTTGGTCACTCATGATTGTGACACAATGTAATTAATAAATGATAAAAAGTAAACTTTTAAAATTTGAAGTTTGCAATAAAAGCATTTTTTAATTAAAAAAAAAAGTCAACATATTTTTTCAATGAAAGTGTGAAAAAAAATCAAAATCAAATATAAAATTTCCTAAAGAGAACTAGAAAACTCAATAGCAAGGTGAAAGCAATTGATGGAATTGTTGCGGAGCTGCCATTAATTGCGTCGGTACAATCTGCTCGATGACAGTAGCACACACTGCCAACAAATCTGGTCAGTTTCAGTAAATTTCTAAATTTGTTCTGTAAGATGAGATCAAAGTGACGAGTATCTCCAGGCACTGGGAACTCTCTAACCTTACAAGGCCATTCTACATTTACATCCACATTGAAGCAGGTCATCGAAAAAACACTTAACGATGCTTTACCTAAAAAATATTTTTAAAAAAGAAAATGTTACAATTAAGTATATCACTAATGAGATGAGTTCACAATAAAACTTTTTTTTAACCAGAGGTCTCTGATGAGACTAGCTCTACTGGGTTTTTACTTAACAAAAGTAGAAAAAGGTAGCACTTGGAATTGAAACTATGGCAATAGCAATAAATAAATAATGATCCTTGGTAAAGTCTATTTCTGAGTCAATTGCAATACTGGACAAAAACGGAAGTAGGCATAACATTTTGGAAGAATTTCACAGAAATTTCTATTTTTAGTAACCATGGCAACATCATTCATCAAAATCAAAAACTGATAAAGAGAATTACCAGGTATGTATTTTAGTGTTGACTACTTGTGTACCAAGTTACAAGTTATATAAAAATTGGACTAAAACTATAGGAGGAGTAGCATATTGAAAGAATTTCACAAAATTTTCCTTTTTTAGTAACCATGGCAACACTGTTCATTGAAATCAAAAACCAATAAAAAGAATTATTTATCTTAATGTGTAGTCTGCTGTGAACTAAGTTTTAGTGTAATATTGGATTAAAACTGTAGGAGGAGTAGTGTTTTGAAAGAATTTCACAGAATTTTCTATGTTAAGAACCTTGGCAAAAGGGCCCATTAAAATCAAGAACTGATATATAGAATTATGCATCTTAGTGTAGTCTACTTGTGTACCAAGTTATATTGAAAATAGACCAAAACTGTAGGAGGAGTCACAGGTACTTGGGTCTTGGTTTATAAAAAATATGTACACATTCAATAGGAACCAAGACCCATGCAAATACCTGTGCTAAAAATTACGTATAATAGAAATTAATTTTATGATAAGTTTGTGATGTATCAATTAGGGAGACAAAAATAATAATTATATGATTATAAAAAAAAGTACCCTCTCCATTATGGGTGGTAACATCAATAAAACCTTTGTAAAAACCACATCGAATCTCAGTGTTAGTTCCCGCCACTGCAGTGATTTGACAAGTGGTCGGCAGGACTGGCTGCTGGTTTGAGACGACCATTGGCTGCGGTGTGGTGGAAATTGCACTGTGGTAGGCCGCCCCACACTGGGGACTAAAGAGACTCGGTGCCACAGAATTGAACAAGGGGTCCATGTTACTTTGATTTCTTACTGTCATTGAATAACACTGGGAACACATTAAAGCTGGAAAAGAAATGATTACATAATATCTTCTCTCTTTCTTCTGCGTCGAAATACTTTAAAAATTTGAAATTTTATAAGGAAATGCGGAAATAGATCAATTTAATAGAAGCATCATTTCAATTACAGGAAGAAATCGACTCACCTGCGGAGAGAGGGTAACCAAAAAATAACAAAGTTATTGCGTAAAGAACTTTCAACTCCATTGTATTGAAATCAAAGAAATTCAGCAGCAAATTATTATTACTATTAGTCTACCTGGACGCACCTGTCCACGGCCATTTTGTTTTTAAATTGCAAGAAAGACAACTTGGACAAGTTCCTCACCGACAGTTCAGTAGCAATTTGTCATGGTATGATGCCCTAGGGTATGATGTCAAATCATATACACAGCTGCTACCATGAATACATGTTTTTTAACTATGCAAGAACAGTGACTGTAAAATGTATGTCGAAATATTTTTTTAAAAATGTGGGGGAGGGGAGAGGGCACACCTTATAGATAGATAGGTAATTGGAATGTGCTATGATGCTGGAAGTTTTTTTTTTCTTTCAAAATACCATGCAGAGTAGGTATGGAAATTTACATGTATATAAAACGTTAAATATCTGAAATATCACAACCTAGTATAACCACCACATGTACTTGGGTCTTGGTTTATAAATATGTGTAAAAAAAAAAATCTTTTTTTTTTTTTTTTTTTTTTTTTTTTTACATATCAATAGGTATATACATATTTATAAACCAAGACCCAAGTACCTGTGTATAACACTAGTCCGAAATATCTGACGTTTTCCATTCGTTTTTTCACGATTTTAATATTTGACGTACGTGCCACATTTAAAAATATCAAAATCGTGAAAAAAGAATGGAAAACGTCAGATATTGCGGACTAATATAACACGTAAAGCTGTAGACTATGCGATTTAGAGAGGTCGATGAATCGGCATCGCCTGCATCAACTAAGAGGCGATGCCGATTCATCGGCGATATCTGAACAGAGAATCTATACCTCTAATATATTAAACATAAGTTAAATCTATTTGTGTCAAAGAGATAACTGAATGTAATATATGTTATGTATTTCTTGTAGAATTCTTTTTTTTTTATCCAATGCTTTTGATTTTTTATTCAATAAAATGTATATGTTATGTACATAAACGGAGTGTCGCTTTTCCTTGTACAATAAATGAAAAATGAAAAGCCATATTATTACTAGTGAGATCACTGGGGATTGAGTATAAAAAATTACTTTTCTAACTGATTTTTTCCTACACAAGCCCCTGTGGTGAGATCAACTCATTATAATACACAATGTAATTAATTAAAAAAAAACTTGATACTTCAAGAAAAAAAAAGAATGGAATAAGATTTTTTACCATATTTTTTAACATCAAAACCTACAAGATACTTTTACGTAAGTGGTCTTGTGTGAAACGGGACAAAGGTGCTCCCAGCTGTTAGAAGATTATAATGTTGTGGTGAATACTGCGTAGGAAATGAATATCATCAACATTAATGATTTCTTAACAAAGCTGTCTTGAACTAACACGTGATCTTGTTGAAAAAGTGCATTTGTGTCTATATTGGTTAATTATTGTTTATATATATAGCGTCCTATAGATTATTATCCCTGCAATTCATAGGGACATTCTATACCTGAGTGCATTGAAATTACTCTGAGACTAGCTGTTCATGTGCGCGGATCTAGGGAAGGGGGATTAGTGCCCCCCACCTACTTTAAGAGTAATTTAATTCATATACTGGGAAATCATCAAAATTCGTGGGGGCCAATTTTCGTTGATAGCTTATATTTACAGGTTCGTGGAGTCCTGGAGGCGTAATTTCGTGTACTCACTCGTATCGATAAAATGAAATATGACTTTGAAACCCCTAGTATATTAATTCGTGGAGGATGTAAATTCGTGGATGAAGGGTACCCACGAATTCCACGAATATTGAGCCACCATGAAATCTAATGATTCCACAGTAGCAAAAAAAAAAAGACCTTGGCAACCTCCCCCCTTTAGAAATCACGGAACCCTGGTGAAATGGTAGAGTCGTACGTATATAAAAAGAGTTGGTGTGGAACCCCCCCCCCCCCCCATGTCTAGATTCGCACATGTCGTTTGAATTATATCAGTAGATAGTACCTAGGAAAATGATAACAGGGTTTCTATGCCACACAAAAGAAACACAAACAATGAAATATCATTGTAATTTTTTAAATAAAGTATTTGTTTGAATTATTTCTCTTATAATGGGACATATAAAAAATTTAACTTAATATATAGTTCCAAATATATTTTGCAAGATCAAACAAATAGGGTAGTGATTCACTACCCGTCTCAGAAAAAATATTAGGACTAGTGAAAGTAGTTAACTAACTTAAAATAACGTAAAACTGGTATAAAACTGTTATATTTGTTAATATCAAATCGCTGAAAATATTTGTGAACCTTGTACACAACCATTTTTAAAACCAATCATTCCATCTATTATAAATGGTGATATTCTTTGCACATACAGTCAAACCTCGTTATCTCGAACTCGACAAGATCAAGAAAAAACTTCGAGATATCCAAGGATTTGAGATATCAGTGTTAAAATACGTAAAGAATAAGTGTTTGGGACTTCCACTGCTCACTTTGACATATCCATGGTATTCAAGATATTGAAGTTCAATTGTTACAGTATATGTATGCTCACATAAAGTAAAACTAAACCAAATGTTTGATACCTTCTTTTTTATATAAAACATTATATTACAGTTTGTCTATTTACACATGTACAAAAACAATCAACAAATGACAGAGTTACGCCTCTGTCAAGTCATCATTGAAGTATAAATGAATTGCTTGAAGGAAAGTGTCATCATTCATGCTCAGTTTATAAAACTCTTCATCTTCATCTGGGATTCCATTTTCTTCTAGTGTCTTTTCCATATCCAGGTTTCTGCCATCATATTTCCACGTATAGCTAGCAGCATGGGCATTGTAACGAAGATAACGAGCCAAAATCTCCGTCATTATCTCCTCTGAACACACCTACAACGAATAAGAAATTATCTCAATGAAAGTTAATTTTTGAAAAAGTGAAATTACTCTACCCACCTATCACAAATAAGACATTTATAGGACCTCTTTGGATTGGAAAACATAATTGAATTTATAATGAAATCTTTTCACCAACTGAATGATATATTAGGTGTATAGCCTTGTAGAAGAAAGAGTTAAATTTTATTTGAAATATTTTCTCTGTTGAATGACTGTTTAATTTGACAATGGGCAATGAGGAAGGATTTAGCCAAAAAATGTTTATAAAAAAGTGTAGCTGATCAGGAACACTAGCTTGGCTAGCTAGATGAATTCAATGAAGTTATTAACTTACCTCAATAACTTGTTCTTGTGAAGTAAGAGTGTTGATAATTTTTATGTTTCGTGTTTTCTTTGACAAAATTCCAACAAGGTATCCCTCATCCCTCCACCATGGTCGACCAAAATCGTTTGCCCAATCGCTGTCTGGGTATGGTGGTAGAATGTGGATGAACCGACCATTTGGGCAGTATGGTATGACACAACCTGTCTGTGGATCTACATGTGTACGGATCTGGAAAAAGAAATATCTGTCAGAGTAAAAGAATCTTCTGATTCTGGAACATAAATTTTTGATACAATGGTATTCTTGCTGAAACTATGTGATATGCAGAACAAGCATTTCAAATGAAAATATTTGATTTTAAAAGTTTGACAAAAGTAATTTGTCATTTTTTTTTCATTAAGATATTATTTTATTAAAAATGTTAAAATCTTACAGAAAATTTTAATTTTTTTGTCTTTTGCATGGTAACATTTTAATTTTTATGACAATTTTTTATTAGTACTTATTAGTTTTTAGATATTGATTTACCTCTTTTGTTTTTGGATTGAACCAGTGTGATATATCTTTTCCCGCAGACTGTATGATTGGCTTTAACAAAACATCACCTGATTGTAAACCATCACAGACATATTTAATTTGTACAGATACAGAAATATATGCACCACTTTTGAAGTGCAGTACATTTACCCACTTAATCAGGTACAGCACAATCTCTTGATTTAGCTATATAGCTGGAAATAGCTATAAAGCTTTATTAAGCTATTCAAAATAGCTTGATAAAGCTATTTATGTGCAGTTTTTCAGGAAAATGTTTTTTGTAAGAAATAGACAAAAAGTCGAAAGTACTTCACTATTCTTATATGTACTATGGGCTATCAAAACAACAACCAAAATCAAAGAAAGTTTTAACATTGCAGCATTTGAATACTTTTAAGCAAAATATGTATTTCCATTGTTTGAGTAACTGTACACTACCTTGTGTGCATTGAGGCATGAATAAGTATGATTGCTTCTCATTGTACTGAATTATTACCAATCAATTATCTTGTTGACCATAATTGGCCTTCTCTATAATTTCATTGCAGATGTAACTGTATCAATTGCTTTATATATCCCCAAATCTTTAGAACCTTGAGTACAAAGTCTCTTAAGGAGACGCAATTTGACGAGTAATTTTTACATGCATTATTTTCAGAAGAGTTCAAGGTTGAATATTATCACTGCACCAAGGTGCGACTTTTTGTGCATGCTGAGAAAATAACACATTTAAGAAAAAAGTGTGATAAAATAGCTAAATCAAGCTATTCTGAATAGCTTAATAAAGCTATATAGCTAAATCAAGCTATATAGCTAAATCAAGAGATTGTGCCGGACCTGTTAATAGGGGGTAGGTACGTGATATTTATTTTTGGTAAACATATGTTTTCGTCTGAGAAAAGAATTTTTTTTTTGCACACAATTTAATTCAGTATAAAAATACATTTGAAATTTGATCGCCTCGGTAGCAGAACATAAGAAGACGTGTAATGTGTAGATAATTAAGTGCAGGACCATTGTCTAGTTTGAACTGTTACTGTGATGCTAAAACTTACCTTTGTATTTTTCACAAAGTGGAGTTAAATTGTAGACTTTTCCCAGAAATGAAACCCATAAATCGTCGGCTGTATTATGAACAGATACTTCGTTCGGTGTGAAGTACTTCGGTCTTCCCATTTTGCCTCTAACTCAAGAAGTTGTCAATATCAACTTGACAACGAAATAAACAATTTATCAGAAGGGTTTAATAAACAAAACGAAAACATATTCAAATGGTTACACTGTTTACTAGTCCTAAAGTATTTAACTATTCTTGTCAAATTATTTTAATGTTATTAAAATATTCAATGAAACACGTAACTTAGAATATTTTAATTTTTAAATTGAATTATGAAGGGTTTCCTTTCTTTTTTTCTGTGTAAAAATCTTAGTTATTGATTTTACTGGTTCTCGTTCTGAGAACTAGCACAATGGCAGGGGAAGTGATGGTGAGTAAATTTTGTCAAATTTGTGTTATGAATCCTAATTTTAAGTCTCTTATCTTTGTTGTGACTGTTTTTCCAAAATTATTATCTAAATATACATATTTCATCAGCAAGCTTATTAAAAATCATGCTTGACATTGAAGCTTTGGCTAAACTGTTTACAATACGTACTCGAATTTCCTCGGTTATATGGTGTGTCAAGATGGGAAGTATTTATCGTCACGACGGTCATGGCGATTATTTTTATTATTCGTACGACGATCGTGTCTTTTATTTGTATAATCCGCGCTACACAAGAGAGATAACTTAATATTTTCACATTGACCCTAATGATTATGATATGCAAACTATCCCATAGTGATTTTCCATTACTTGCATTGAATCTGATTGAAGTGAAACTTGGTAGCACTACCAAGTGTACATGTGCCTGAGTCACAGGTCGCTCGTCGTTATTACTGAGCACAATAATCAGGTCCAGTGTAATCAGTACATTAGGCCAAATAAAAAAATATGTGTGGTTCCGGTTACCCGACCTTCCCTAGTTTATACCCCCGACCCTAAACTTTTTTTTGGGCAATTTTCATATTTTTTCCGGAATTTTCCCCGATTTCCATCAATGGCAGTTTCAGCAATGACGGCCTCCTTGCAAAACATAGTTTAATAGTGTTAAATCCAAAGCAAACTAGCATGTAGGTGTCCCCTACCAATATTGACTAGTATATTATCACACCACATCTAAATGCCATTTGCAAAGCAGTGATAGGTATTATTTCTAAAGAAAAAAATTAAGAAAATCATTTTGTTAAAAAAAAAAAAAAAAAAAAAAATCCCTACCTACCTACCCTAATTTTTATGGAGGTGTAACCGGAACTAGACATATTTTTTGGTTTGGCCGTAGCTATGTAGCTTGGATTACCTACCGTAGCTTTGTTTACCTTCTTGAAAAAGCTTTATTTAGCTATTTCAATGCAACTTTTCACAAGTTTGCTTTTTATTTAAAATAGACCAAAACTAGAAGTCTCTGATGAGACTGTATCTCTACTGGTTGTACTTATAAAGGAAGATAAAAGTAGCACTTGGACTTGAAACTTTGCAACAGTGATAAATAGAATAATGATCCTTGGTTTAGTCTCTTTTTTTGGCAAGAATTATTGCAATCAGACTAAAACTGTAGGAGGAGTAGCCTTTTAAAACAATTTTACAGAAATTTGGATTTAAGTAACCATGGCGACATCATTCAATAAAATCGAAAAAAAACCAATAACGACAATTATGTATGTCAGTGTAGTCTACTTGTATGTTAAGTTATACTGAAATCAGACAGAAAAAGTAGGAGGAGTAACATTTTGAAAGTATTTCAGAGAATTTTCTATTTTTAGTAACAATGGCAACACTGTTCATTGAAATCCAAAACTGGTACATGTATAAAGAATCATGTATCTAAGTTTAGTCTACTTGTGTGCCAAGTTATACTGAAATCAGATGAAAGCTGTAGGAGGAGTAGCATTTTGAATGTATTTCCAAGGAATGTCTATTTTTAGTGACCATGGCAACATTGTTCATTGAAATCAAAAACCAATACTCAGAATTATGTATCTTATTATAGTCTACTTGTGTGCCAAGTTATATTGAAATCAGATCAAAACTGTAGGAGGAGTAGCGTTTTGAAAGTTTTTCAAAGAAATTTCTATTTTTAGTAACCATGGCAACACCGTTCATTGAAATCAAAAACCAATTCACAGAATTATGTATCTTAGTGTAGTCTACCTTGTGCCAAGTTATATTGAAATCAGATCAAAACTGTAGGAGGAGGAGCGTTTTGAAAGTTTTTTCACAGAAATTTCTATTTTTAGTAACCATGGCAACACCATTCATTGAAATCAAAAACCGATACACAGAATTATGTATCTTAGTATTGTCTACTTGTGTTCCAAGTTATATTGATATCAGACCGAAACTGTAGGAGGAGTAGCATTTTGAAAGTATTTCCCAGAAATCTGTATTTTTAGTAACCATGTCAACACCGTTCGTTGAAATCAAAATCCGATACACAGAATTATGTATCTTAGTGTAGTCTACTTATGTGCCAAGTTATATTGAAATCAGACAAAAACTATAGGAGGAGTAGCGTTTTGAAAAATTGTTTACAGACGGACGGATGACGGACACCTTACTATCGCGTAAGCTCTTCTGGTCTCTGACCAGTAGAGCTAAAAATCACAATTATATGACTACTAATATTTATACTAGAGAGTTGTAAAATAGCAATCAAAGGCAAAGACATTGTAAACATCGCTGCATTTGAACACCTTAACACAAAATTAAAGATGTATTTCTATTGTTTGAGTAACTGTACACCAACTTCTGTGTGGTGAGGCATAGTGGTATGATTACTTCACATGGTGCTGAATTATTACCAATCACTTCATGTTAACCAGAACTGCATGGTTTTCTTTGTTATTTCATTCAACAAGTAACTGTTTGCTCACAAATTAAATGAAAGCCCTGGCCCAAAACTTTTTGAATTTTGATTGCAATTGCACTAAAAGTAAATAAACCAGTAAATAAATAAATGACATAAATAATATTATAAATGATTAATATAATAATTTCCTTTATTTGATACCTTCTTTCCACAATTTTTCAATGGTCATGGATAGGGCTGTGCATCAAATGGTTGCCAGTATTTTCCTGTATTTCCTCATAGAATTCTAGTCAGTAGTGGTGAGTTTAAGCTCATATCAATTGCGAGAAAAATTTAATAGAATGAATTTTGCAGTGCACACTGGTTGATGATAGGTTTAAGAAGTCATGGAAATTATTTATAATGAAATAAATCATGGTAACTAATGTATAATATACACATAATGATATAGAAAACTCTGTGTTTTAAATAATGGTAATGTTTCTTACTGATGCAGTGTAGAAAAAGCATGCCAAGCTACTTATATAATTGTTGTAAAAGTAGTTGCTTTTGGTAAGATATATACCTGGCTAACAAAAGAGGTACACGTTAAGATAAGTCACGGAAAAACAAAAAATATAATCAAGTAATAGCAGTATGATCTGTCTCGGAAAAGCAGTGTCCTATCAGGGAAAAGTGATACAGCAAATGATACAATGCACTTTAGCTTACTTAATGATTTAGATTGTATTTGAACAAAGCAAAGTATTTTTATTTAAACTTTCTGTACATGAATGAAACATTCAAAATCTGCTAAGGCTTCTATCAGTTTATATCTGTATTATATAGTCCTATATGAAATGTTTATTTTATTACATCACTCTACACCTCTACACATTAAAATGTCTAGGAGTGTAATGTTAGTAATAATGCATGAATTTTCCATTTTTTTTTCACAGGAAAAGCAAGATAATGATAAAGATGTAAGTGAAGGAAAGAAAAAGTTGTCTAGTTGGCTAAACAAAAGTATGAAAGTCCGAATGACAGATGGAAGAACTCTTATTGGTAGGTCAGGGAGTGTAGATTAACACTCACTTCTTAAATTTTACACATATTAATAAAAATTACTGAGATAAATACATGTATTATTTTACCTTAGGTACTAGCTACAAGATAGAACAAATGTATCCGGTTTAATAATTTGCCATTGCATCTGCAGATATATTGGAATAATTAGAGTATTTTTTCTGTAGACAGAGAATATGATGGCAAAATTCTCCTTGGACACAAGAGCATTTTTTGGGGGGGAGGGGGTATCATAAAAGACTAATTTGGTTTTTAAACAGAAAAATCTTGATGATTTTTTTTTCTCTGCTATTAACTGCCATAAATTTCTTTTTAAAATTTTAAATTGAAAGACGTATTCCTGTGACATACATATAAACACAAAGAGATCTCTTCTGATGTTTTTATCAACAATTGTTAAATAAAATACATTTATGACAAAAGTTTACCCAAACCATTATTCTCCTTTGAATCTAGATAAATATGAAAACATATTTAAGAAAAAAAATTATATTTTTCCTTTAATTTGTAGGTATATTCCTTTGTACAGACAAGGATAGAAATGTTATATTAGGTTCTTGTGAAGAGTATCTGAGACCACCTGGTATGTATCAAGCATCTCCCATCAATAGCTTACAGATATATTCAAATTGTTAGATTGCTATGGATTCCCATTTGTTATTGTGAAATACTTTTTCTGTATCAGTTTCAGATTTACTACTGTGCATGTACTTAGATAAGAAAAAAAAAGATTTATTTATTGTGTGTAGAAGTACAAGTTTTCTTTTCAGAGAGTAAAGAGAAAGAAGAGCCTCGTATTTTGGGATTAGCTATGATCCCAGGTCATCATGTTGTCAGCATCTCAATCGATAAATCCCAGCTTCAGGATCCCGATATTCAGTGAGGTTATTAAAAAAGAGAGATTGCTTGAGCTGGTACAAAGTACAGAGCAGAGTTCTGTGCCCTTGAATACTGAAAAGACTGCTCTACCAAAAACGCTTACCAGTTAGTTATATCCCAGATACATGTAAAAAAAAAAAAAATGCCGATTTCAAACCAACAATACTGCATCCTGACAACTGTGGCTCATGTATTGCACTAGATAAAAACTTCAATTGACATATTCAATATGTTCTTCATGTGAAATTAAATACTAAACTGTGAATGAAAGATTACTGTTTTTGTTTCTTTAGATATTGACAACAGGTTCTCCATTAGATACTGTCATTGTTTAAGAAGATTAAAGACATACGCAACGTAGTTCGAACATTATTGTCTTTTTCCCTGGAGTTGAAGAGTTCCAATACTTGAAGGACCTGTGTACTACTCTTTTAATGTCTATATATGGTGCTGTACACATCTTTTAAAACAAATTTGATGAAAGAAACATCTAAAATATATGTTTAGTATTTTTTGTATATTTTTCTTTGAATAGTACAAGAGTTTTCATCATTTAATATCTTTTCAAAACCCCTGGTAATGCATGCTGATATTTTGTCTGCAAACATCTAATGGTACTATAATCTTAAATTAAGAATATCTTGAAAAATTTTCAGTAGGTAAGGTATGTTGCATATGTCCTTAAGAGTATAAAACATCAGCATTATTTTAGATGTTGTCTGGCTTAATAAGATAGTCATTAATAAGTAGAAATATCATTCAGTTTTTCATTTTTTATTTGACATTCTGGCACAATACAGAGGAGAGGATTAGACCTATTTCTGAGGATCCATACAGGAATCAGTGAAAACAATTTTAGCACAGTAATCTTAAATTGGCACATTTGTAATAATTGCTTTATTACCAAGATTTATTTTTTACCTAATAACCCAGCTAGAGCACCTAGTCCCCCACCTCCTCCACCCCCACCCAACCCTGACAATATGCCGTCTAACCCGCCTCCATTCTTCAGCATTCCCATTGCAGCATTCATAAGCTGACCTCCCTGGGGTCCACTCATCATTTCTTTGACTTTAGACATCATTTGTTGACCTTGTGGACTGTTCATCATTCCTGACACTTGATTCATATCTATTCCTTTATCCCCCATTATCTTAGAGATATCTGCGCCTCCCAAAAGCCCTGCCAAATCTGGCATTCCACCTCCTGAACCACCAGGACCACTGCTGCTGCCACCACCACTCGGAGGTCCACCTCCCATTCCAGCAAATATACTACCAAGGTCAGGAAGATCACCACCACCACCAAATATGCTGTTGAGGTCAAGGTCATCTGATGCAGATGATGGTGATGGGGGCTGTGGTCGAACTGGAGCAATTGGGTTAGGTTGAGGGGCAGGTGGCTGTGGGTTGTTGTTCACTGGCCCAGTGCTGGGGTTGATTGGTGGTTGTACTCCACCCATGCTGTTTGGTGGAAATTGTGGATTTCCCATGTTCATGTTGGGTCCTACACTAGGAGTTGGTCCAATGTTGTTATTTCCAGGAATTTGTTGATTTTGACCGTTTGGTGGATTTGTTCCAATATTGTTTGAATTTGGGTTGAAATTTTGATTTGCATTGAAATTGTTTTGATTTTGACCAAAGTTATTTGAATTAGGGCCACCATTTGGGTTAAATTGAGTATTAGGGTTTTGTCCCATATTTTGTCCTTGACCTATATTTTGTCCTGGACCAAAGTTTCCATTCTGTGGCATGTTAGGATTTTGTTGGAAATTATTTGGATTTGTTTGGAAATTGTTTGGGTTTCGTTGGAAGTTTTGTTGATAATTGTTTTGATTTTGAGGATAGCCATTTTGTTGGTTTTGTGGATAGTTGTTCTGTCCTGAACCCATGAACTGGTTTGAGTTCATACCTGTATTTGGATTGTATTGTCCAAAATTTCTGTTTTGTCCAAAATTTCTATTTTGTGGAAAATTACCTTGAGCAAAGCCAGATGGAGGTTGTTGAAAGCCCATTTGGTTGGATGGGTAGTTAGGTTGTTGCATCACTTGATACTGAGGGTTATATTGTGGCCCTCCCATTCCATTTTGATTGAAGCCCATGGAACCACCCATTTGTCCTCCCATGGGATTTTGTCCAAATCCTCCCATTTGACCTCCCATATATGGTTGCCTGGGAGCATTATTTCCTCCTCCTCCCAAGTTGCCAAGAATTCCAGAGAGACCACCATTACCACTTAAACTTTTGATCATAGATGACAGTGGATCTATAGGCTGTGCTCTTGACTGAGTACCTTCCACTAATTCTGGTCTTGGTGCTTGATTTGGTGTAGCACCAGGATCAATTCCAAGCATTCCAGCCAATCCATTGTTTCCCTGTGTTAAAGACGTTGCTGTACCCAAATTGCCACCTTGTCCTGCTCCACCACCAAGGAGTCCACCTAGTGCACCTCCTGCACCTGCACCCCCACCTAGTGCTCCTAACATTCCACCAAGACTTCCTGCAGGATTGCTTCCTCCACCTCCTAGTCCACCAAGTAACCCTCCTAATCCTCCCCCACCCCCTGTACCCCCTCCACCAAGACCCCCTAACAGACCACTCAGGGGGTCACTTCCTCCTCCTCCCCCACCTAACAAACCACCTAGAGGATTGCTTCCACCACCTCCTCCACCAAGAAGACCAGCAAGTGGATCACTCCCCCCACCTCCAATTAAACCTGCCATGGGGTTTGATGAACCTCCTCCTCCTAACAATCCACCCAATGGTCCTCCCCCTCCTCCACCCATTAGTCCTCCAAGTAATCCCATTGGCCCCCCTCCCCCTCCTCCTCCCATCAAATTACCTAACATTCCACCTAACCCACCCCCTCCTCCAGCTAAATTTTTCATACCCATCATAAGTGGCAAAAATTTCATAATGCCACTAATTCCACCTCCACCACCCAAAAGACCAGTCACTTTTCCTAGAATTCCAGACCCTCCACCCCCAAAGAGGTTTTTCACTTTTCCTAACAAACTAGTGTCCTCCAACATTTTTTCCACTTTCTGTTCTTTTACTGGGTCATTATTTGCAATTTTCTTGATCTCCTCATCTTTTTTAACTGGCGGAACTGTAACAACTGGTACACCACTGTCTTTTGCATCCTTCTCTTTGACTTTTGCTTTCAGAAGTTCCAGGAGTTCAGATGCACTATCAGCACCAACTTCGTTGGCCAACTGGTCTAAAAGAGCTTTCTTCTCACTTTCCTTGTTCTGGTCTGATGTATCTGGCTTTGTGGTTGGTGCTGGTGTAATGAATGTGACTGGATTGGGTTTAGGAATTGGTATATCTGTAATGATCACATGTCTTTTATTGAATGTTTTGCAAGATTTTACACTCTGAAAGGGAAGGGTCTGGGGAATTTATAATTTGAAAGTTCACTTCATACGTACCTCTGTGGGCTTCTACTGTTATGATCGGCGACATGATACCTTCCCAATGTGTTTTAGCATCTTTAACAATGGTTGCTCTAAAACGAATTATTTTGCAAATTAATTTCTTTTCGTTACTTATTAATGATATGGTATTTATATTATTCAACTAAATAAATGAATATTTCTATTACCGTATTCGGAAGTCTTTTAGGTTTTCCACTGGGGCCTGCCATAACATCGTCAGATTTGCCTTAAATTGGTTATTGGTATGTGTGACTGTATCAGAGTTATGGTGGCATCCCATGGTTTTCGAGGACCTGCCCCGAAGCATCCATGTTCCCTCTGGTCTAGGGTTATCTCCAAATACATCGGCAGGAAACGCCTGTACGATGAATCCTTTGAAGAAATCGAACTTTCCCTGTCCATAGAGCGTTACTAAAAGTACAGGATAACAATGCATATACAAAACTGTGTTCTTCATTGTACAAGGAAGTCATAATTATTAGGATTAGGTCATCTTTAAAATAATGTTTGTTTGTCCTCTCCCAGCTCAGGATAACAAAAAAATTGGGTCAGTCGGTAGGTGGAAAATTTTGATACCCCAGAAATTGTCAACAGCAATGCTGGATTTTCGAAATCTGTCAAAATTGAAGGTATATTCATTGATACTCTGATTAGAGAGATAACTCTTAATGACATAAATGTCTATTATTCTTTTACAAATTTGTCAAGTTGAAGTGTTTTGTTTTTTGTCCAATTTGGCCCAGCAAGCTATGCTATAATTGTTTGTATTTTACTTAACAAAAACATTTCTTTCTGAAAATCATAAGAGTTAAAGAAACATTTTATATGAGTGAGCACTGAGCAGAGGGTTTATGAACCTTAAAATAGTTGTTGACGGAATGGCAAAATTGCAAAATTACATGTATTATTATTATTATTATTATTATTTTGGAATTGTTTCCTGGAGGTTCGAGTCGGGCCATTTTTAGCCAATCGGTTGGGAGAGAGCAAACAATCTTTTTAAAGGTCTGATGACACGTTGCTCGAATATCTGTTTTGTATCTTTTCGTAATATACAACAAATTAATCATAATTATCATTACCTTGTGATTTCAAATTGTTATCAACTATTGTCAAAATGTCTAAGTAGATAAAGACACACATACAAAAAAAAATTTGTGATACTGGCAATTCAGATGATTCCTAATAGGGTTATATGGGAAACACCATCCTGCACAAATGCCTGGTAAGGTACCTTAATTTTTTTGTGAGGAAACTTGTTAAAGTAGGAGTTCTTCAATGACAAGTTCTTGGAAAAAATTATATGTTATTGAGGAACATGTCGTCTGACCTCAACTTGTAAATATTGGACTTTCTGTATCTTTTTTATTAAGTGACCATTGTCTTTGCTTAACCGGCTTTTCTAAACTCAGTGTATGGTACTAAAATGAAACAATGACCAGATCATATGTTTTTGTTCTGCCAATGAAATTCATTTAATTTGGAGAAATCAGCAACACAATTTTAGAATATGCATTTTCGTTTAAAATATTGTAGTCCGATCCTAAAAATCAGCAGTTAAGTAATTGAAAATGCTCACAAAAAATGTCTCTGAATTCACAAAGTAATGCATATTTAGTTATTTACCCATGGTATTTCCTCAAAGTTCATCATTAAAATTAATCATATCATTGTCAAAATTTAAACTATCATTTTCAGGAAACGCGAATAAAAGTCATACGTTTTGTAATTGAAAATTGATCAACAAATATTTTTTAGGATAAGATAGTATAGTGTAGGTATCTCCACACATTTGGAGAAAATTGTATGGTTTTTTTTTTAATACTTACACGGTATTTTAGTTTTATTTTCTTTAATTATTATTAAATATATAGTGTAAAAAGATTGTTCTATCATTGCAAGACTTGGAAGTCATTCTACGATAAATGGATCAATTCAGGGTATAAAGCATGGGGAATAAAATAATTATTTAGAATAGCAAAATGAACATCATAATTCTCTAAAGGACATATCAGTGAACTTGAAAAAAAAATTGTCCACAAATCTGGTATCGTTTACTTTTCAACAATTTCAATATACCATTGATTTTAAGGTAATGTTACGGAAGTTAATGCTTGATCTAGTCTTATTATTTTTAAATGAAGCTGAATTTGACCAATTTTTCCTTTCTGATGTTCAGTATAGAACGCTAAAGTATATTTCATAAAGTCTCGCATGAATCCGAAATTAAGTTAAAATTTCGGGGAAAATATCATTACGGAAGTTAATTCCCAACAATAAAAGTTAAAATTCTCGGCAATTGTTAAAATCAAAGTTTGTTTTAGGATATTAAACAAAAGTATGAAGCATTTCGCTCCCAAAATAATTAAAATTTTTGTATCTTTAATGCAAAAAACTTTCCTGAATTACCGTTACGGTAGTTAAAAATTTTAAGAGAGACAACTGTTTTTGTCTAATTCAATTTGTTATGTCGAAAATGTAATCGTCTAAAATAGCTGATTCGCAACTAGGATCGATGATATTAGGTTCCATGGTCACTTTCAGATAAGTTTCAGTTCTTTTTGAAATCTGCATTCTGTGCATAAAATTTAAAAAAAATCGTTACAGAAGTTAATCGATTTTAAGCGACATGCTTATGATTTCGCATGAAAGAAGATCGATGCATTTCTTTGCGAGAAGTGGTTTGATTTCTTTTTATGAAGGATAAAAAACTTTTCTAACATTCATTGCAATCTATTAGGAACGCTTTTACGGCTGAAAATTTCATCTTGAAATTTGTAAATAAATGAAGCGACATTAAGATTTGCAGTGGAATACGTTTTTCAACTTTACATTATGTTCATATCAAAACTTTAACTGCATATATATCGGTAAATAATTACAAAACCATGTGTGTATGTGTAGTCTTAGAGTTGAAATCGATCTTTAAATTTATAGTTAAGATATAACAACGGTAAATTTGTAAGCGACATAAAAAATTCATAATTTGCCATGTTTTTGTAGAATGACTGTTCAGAGAAAACTTATTATTTCATCTCATGCTAAAAAGGGTTGGTTTTTAATGCTAGACTACAGGAAATTCGATTTCTCTAAAAATGTATTTATTTTTTGTTCTTTTGGTAAAAAATGTCAACTTTTACAATACTGTTTCACAGTTTGAATTATATTGAGATGCATGAAGTGAAAATTGTTGCACGAAAAGATTTCAATTCAATCTCTCTTTTGAGATTTTTTAAATTAAATAATGAATTTAAGTATAACCCTTCCTGGTTGAGGAGCGGATATCCTTAAAACTAAACAACCCGTCCTTTTATGCATTAAAATTGAGTCGCAAACTCCGATTCAGAAAATTTCGGGATCTTTTTATGTAAATGGCTTTCAAGAAAAAATTGCTATGCATGTAGATAGATGTACAAGACAGAATTTCACTGGAACATATAAGTAAGGCTGATTATGTTGTTCAGCATAAGATTAACGCTGTGGTCGAACATATCCTCGGGACTACTAGCTTGTGATTTGCATATTGCATGTATATTTCGCATCCACCCTTGTGTAAACTATGAAAATCGTACTTTAACAAAATATCCTTTAAATTTTGATAACCGAATAACACAACACTTTTTTCACCAAAAACAAAATATGTATTAATAAAAGCCCGATACGATTTTGCGATTTGCTGGAGTGCGACAAGGCGTGCTATTTTGTCTATATTTTTTCGTTTTAAATATTGTCCAAAAACATCATCCATTCCTTGTAATTTAATTAATTTACAAAAAAGGAAAACAAACCTACCATGTATGATACTTTTAAACTCGAATTATTTTTAGCAAAATAAAAAAAAACAGTGGCTACGGAGTGTTGACTTTGCATTTACCTTCAACGATATCTCCTTTATGAACATGCGTTGTATTCACAAGAATTTTATATGGTGAAGCAGTGTACTGAGGAGGATATATTTCCGTCGAACTCCCCTCCCTGTAGTGCCGTACATGTCCATGACATCCGTATCCATTCAAAGGAGCACCCGTTGGATAACAAGAAACATAGGTCCAAATAGTCACAGAAAAACACAATATAAATAATTTAAACATGTCTAAAAGAAACTAATCCTTTTTGTCATTAAAAAAAGCACTTCAATTACTTAGCAAGGGTCCAGCCCTTGTCAAACGAAAAATCGAAAATAAACACTCTGATTGCTTCAACGTTATTATGACGTAATTGGGGTACCTGCAGGATAAGAATTCCTAAATAAAATCTTTGGTAGAATAGCCCGAATTAGATTATTTCTTAAAGCTTAAGGCAAGGAAAAAGTACACTGTTGTTCACTGTTTTGCAAAAGGTTCGATTCTAAACGTACACAGTGTCTTTGAGTTAAGCATTGCAAAGGTGTTTTCGGGCCCCCGTTGTTTCGTGTATAAGGTGTGATTGACGGGTATAACTTTCTATATACTGACTGACATATTCCAATTGAGAAACAACTTCCGTCTACAGATACCCAGGGGCAACCCGTGTTGTGACAGATACGACCATTGGTTAGGTCTTTATATAGCGTACACGATAGACCAAACCTAACTGCACGTATATTCTACATTAATTTAGCAGGGGATACACATCACAAAATATGACTAACTTTTCGGACAATATGGCGCACTATGACGTTATAGATGATCTCATTCAACACTAGCGGAATTACGAAATTACCGGAAATTTTTTGTGTTTTATATTTTTAGCAAGGTTCATGATTTTCACTTTGTCATTTTCTTTTAAAGTGCGTATTTCAAATCTTATATTGCGTAAAGGGTAAACTTTAATATCTTCAAATAATTTTGGTATATTTAGGAAATACTGTACAGAGTTTTATAATTGAACAATCTCTTTGCAAATGTTCGCTTGGAAGACACTCTGAATCACACAACTGATACAGGTAACTCTCCTCGTCAAATAAAACAAGTTGGTTTCTATAATAATGATTTTATTCAAGAAAAAGATCTTCTTTGTCTGTATAGTCTAGATTTCCTTTAAGAAGATTTGCAATTGACCGACTCACACCCTGCAATTCTTCTTCCGCCCCGTGATCTCCCTTAACAGTTGACTCAGCCATTATGAATGGCAAGGAGTTGAGTATTTCTTTTGATGCCATAATGTTGTCCCTGTTCATAACTCCATCGAAGCCCTTAGAAAATCTGGAGCGAATGTCTAATTGCACTGTTCCCTGCTTCATGCTTTTTGCAGTCTGAACTACACTTTTCAGCCACTTCCTAGATAAATTTGAGCTAGTAGAATCTGAAATAAACAACAAAAGATCTTAATCTTGATGCAATATTTAAACCACACCATCGTAGATTAAGACTTACTGAACTCAATCCCAAGTAGATGTCTCCTATACTTTCAAAAATGGGATAGTCAAGTGACACTTCTGTATCACCATTTTTGAGTGAGCAATTTATACATGTATATATTTTGGCCAAACAAATTTTTAAAAAGGTGTACTAATTCTGCATGGTCATATTTACTTGATGGTGTTACAGAAATTGCTGCTGAAGTTACATTCATCCAGTAAACTTCGTAGGTCTGAACTATTGTAACTCTGAAAAGATACAAGAAAAAGTTTATAATATTCTGATAAAAAACATTCTGCATTTTATTTACCACTCATTATTATTCAAAGCGAGTTTGTACTGCGTCCAAACCAATACCTGAATCGTATAGCAGCTGTAATACTCGGCACCCTAAATAGTAATGTGACGTTTTGCTTTGGAGAAGATGAAGAATGTGTCACCATTGGATGTTTCCAGGAGCACTGAACCTGTTTTATGTAACTGGATGCAAGAAACTCTCCATGGGAAGAAATTTCTTCGTTTGACTCGATGTCGGTAACAGTGTCTACCAGGAGCCCCTTGAAATTGTCCTGCTCAGCCTTCACTGTAACTGAGAGAAGGGAAACAACCACCAATCTGTTCGTTAATTAAAAATTCGATCTAGTTTAAATTAGATTGACAAAGTACAGATCTTCTCATTTAACAATCTGGAAGTAGAAATCAATTTAAAATCAAAGAAAAATACCTGTTATGACATCCCCTCCCATTGCTTTGCTAACATTTGTTGTCACGGATACGGGGGCGTTACCGATTTGTGGAGGGATGATTTCAGCGCCAGAGTGATGAAGAGGTTTGCGTTGCTTGCAGACTGACGTCATAGATGGCGCACCTGAACTGTAAGAGTTTGTTTCCATAACACACTGAAGCACAAGAAATAAGCACGAAGCACCGATAAACCACCTTCTCACCATTTTTAACACTAACGTAAAGAAATGCCCCCAAGATACGTGATCATGTAAGACTAATACACAATATTACGTTGTAACACCGGTACAAAAAATGAATCATACAGAGGTGTTCTGTGTGAAACTAAGAAAGTAAAATAGTCCAGTCAATTTATCATGACACATCAAACTAATTGCAACATAATTTCTTTTGTTATAAATAAACTCTAGAATGCACAAAAAGAAATGTTATTAAAAAAAATCTAACAACATCGAATGAGTGGAAAGCATTCTATGAAAATTATTATATGAAAGGGACATAACTCTTTTAAATTTAGTAAATTTTGTTAAAATTTTGGTGCATTTTTCTATCCTGAAAAAAAAAGGAAGTGAATCAAAACCCTGTATAATGACATTTATAGGTGCAGTAAAACCTTTTATACACAAAGAGTTTTTATGCCCCTGTATCGAAGATTCGGGGGTATATAGTTTTTGCCCTGTCCGCCCTTCTGTCTGTTTGTCCGCAAAAACTTAAACATTGCTCATAACTTTTGATTGGTTGGAGCTATGACTTTCATATTTTACATGTATTCCTTGTGACAAGACCTTTCTTTGGGTACCATCATATTTGACCATGACCTTGGAGTTTGGCCCAGTTTTACAAAATTTTAGCCAACTTTAACCTTGGCCATAACTTTTGAATGGTTGGTGCTAGGGCTTTCATACTTAACATATGTAATTCTTGTGACAAGACCTTCCTTTGGATACCAACAACTTTGACCCTTTGACCTTGACCTTGGAGTTTGACCTACTTTTTAAAAACTTTAACATTGCTATAACTTTTGAGCAGTTAACGCTAGGGCTTTCATACTTCACATGTGTAATCCTTGTGACAAGACCTTCCTTTGGATATCATCAACTTTGACCCTTTGACCTTGACCTTGGAGTTTGACCTACTTTTGAAAAATTTTAACCTTGGCCACATCTTTTGAACGATTGGTGCTAGGGTTTTCATATTTCACATGTGTATTTCTTGTGAGAAGGTCTTTCCTTGGGCACCATTAATTTTGACCATTTGACATTGACCTTGATGTTTGACTTACTTTTGAAAAACTTTAACTTTTCCAATATCTTTTCAATGGTTGCTGCTAAGGCTTTCATATATCACAGGAATATTCCTCGGTACAAGACCTTACTTTGGGTACCAGCATATTTGATTTGCCTTTGAGAAAGTTTGACCTTCGCTATAAGTTGCCATACGGTGCATCAGTGTTTCACAAACACATCTTGTTTTTAAAGATGTTTAGGTTCACTTAAAAGTGTATGTTGCATTTCCTCGGCCCATAATAAGAAAATTGTAAGGCATAGGTTCATAGGTCAAATTTTGTTTCTATTTTTATTATATTTAGTATTTATGTACTAAATGAAGTGATCATGCATACTAAATCTTAATGTAAGGGATTTTTTTTTTCAAATTCTTTTTTTAAAACTGTATTCACTGTCTATATTTTAAAAAATGCTAATATTTCTAAATATTCAAAAATATGAAATTAAATTCAAAAAATCCTTTTCAAATTTATTTTAATAATATATAATAATGGTATAATAAAATAATGATTTTGTTTTAAAAGAGTTTCAGACAATTTTAAAGGTGCTTGGACACAGATTTGAAGTTAATATTTTCTCAAATTTTCTGTATAATTTCATGACTCATATGTTGCTATAGCATTTCATACTAAAATATAATAAAAATCTTATTTCATCTCGAAGTTATTAAAACTTCAAATTTCTGGACGCGTTGGATTGAAACATCCTTGTGCTTTCACATATTTTAATTTTATTCTTAATACTTAGAAAAGTGGCTTTTTTATTGTGTATTAATGAAAAATATTAAAATTATAACCCAGAAAATTCAGAGTAGAAATGTTCGAATGCAAAACCCTCTCACAGTATTGTAAGTCCGTGCTCAGTGGTGTGTGCAGCGTTTAACAATTGAACACACCCGCTGAATCGTAAACATTAACAATAACAGAGCTCGTGCCCTGTTTACAAAAACAGTTTACGTTTCACGGGTGTGTTCAATTTGTTAAACTCTGTACATCACAGAGCACGGACTGACAATACTGGTGAGTTGGTTTTGCTTTCGAACATATCTACTCTGAATTTTCTGGATTATAGATGTAATATTTTTCATTAAGACATAACAAAATCGCTTCTTTTCTTAAATATTAAGGATAAAGTTAAAATTTGTGTAAATTGCAAAGATGTGTTAATCAAATGCTTCCCGGAATTTGTAGTTCCAATAATTTCCAGATAAAATAAGTTTTTAATTATATTTTCGTGTGAAATGCTATTGCAATATATAAGTCGTGATATTATACAGAAAATTTGAGAAAATGTTAAGTTCAAATTTGTGTCTAAGCACCTTTAAATCAGATTACGATTTCATGAAAAACAGAATTTTCTATCTGGATGGATTTGCAGAGTTATGTCCCTTTTATAAATAATGCAAAAGTAATGCTTTCCGCTCATTAGATTTTCTTCTGGAAATATTTTGTACATGTTATATTAAATTTATGACAAAATAATTTACATGTATGTTGCAATTAGTTTGACGTTGCCCATATTTTCGCTAAATTGCCCGGACTGAAATACCAGTACTGGTATAAGCACAGGCGCTTGACGTTTTTAACCTTTCTTTTCATAAATAAAAAAATCCCCATACTATAATAATTATAGTATGGGGAATTTTTTATTTATGAAAAGAAAGGTTAAAAACGTCAAGCGCCTGTGGGTATAAGATAAACTTTATACTAGTATTCACGTCATCCTTTAGTTAAAAAGATTGTTAAGTGTAAAGGCTATGCAAAGTCATCTTCGCTAGCCTTTTCGGTCCACTCCACTCCCCATATGGAGCGGAGTGGACCGAAAACTCGTGGCTGGCGAAGATGTGCGAAGTCGGATTCCCACTGCATATGATAATGTGGAAACATCCCCCACCCACCCACCATTAAAGAAAACTGGATGTCAAGTTTCTCCCGACTCCTGTGCAGAGCACGACATCTGTTGTTAGCGAAAGCTTGAATAGTAAAGTCAGTGGCAGATTCACCAAATCGTAAGAAGGAGGAAAGGGGAGAGGGGTATAGTCGAAGTCCGAATTGTTTCCAGCAAGAAAGGGATACGATTTGTAGCTAGTTCATTCTATGATGTTACAGTTGTGTAAAATGAGGGGGGGGGGATTTCTTCGGGGGATAGAACTATCATTTAATGACTCAACGGACCAGGTGAGGGCCTGTAATGAGACACATTCTAACTACAAGGGTCAATACTACCCTGTACACATCTCGGTGTCACCTATTAGCTACAACTTTGAGTAGCGACTAAGGATAATTTCATTATGTTATTTAATGTTCAAGTTGGTCCAGAACAGAGCCCAGATGGTGGTCAGAAATGTTCCCCAAAACAAGGACGGTAACATCTGTAAAATGCAATCAAAATAAACATTTGGGACATTTTTCAAACATATCAGAGGGAAAATATAAGCAAAGAATAGTGGGTGCTCTTATCGCCTGAACTCAGTTCAAACCATAATGTGCAAATAGTATTGGGGTGCACCGAAATTACTTTTTCCAAATCTTCGATAACTAAATCTTTATAATCAACTGGTTAGCCTCAACTGTTAAACACTGCCGTTTCATCAATAGTATACTCACTGGCTGTGAGTTGGAAAGAGCTGTCCCACTCACAGCCGTATTTTATTGATGTACACTGTACATTATAATTTCTGAGGGTTGAATAAAAGCACATTTTCCCGGGGGTAAATAGCTTTGTGGAACTTTTCAGTGTTTGAGAAGTCGCCAAGCAATTTCATATTGCATGGAATCAAAATTGGCGTCAAAAGTTGAATGAAAATTTTCCAATGGATAGATAGCACACACACTATAACCAGGGTATAACTTTGCTATTTGCGTGACAAGCCCCAAAACAAGTGAAGATTACCCCCCCCCCCCCCCACTTCTGACACAATACAACAAAAGATTCAGTTTTGTACATATTTATTGTGATATCTTGTGTACTTCTGAACATCTAGCAGTCATGGAACCATATTGCTTTCAAAATTGTCTTTTCAAGAAAAACATGCTGACACTCTCAGTGTAAGCAACCTTAATCACTTGTTTAATTATGACTTTGCAACTTTAAGCCATTACAATTTTTAAACCAGTACAGACTTAAATGAAAAGAATTGAAAGAAGCAAGAAAAGATTCAGTAATACGTACACAAACAGAGGTAAAACTGTAATGGATTAGCTTTCAATATCAAATATACATGTATATATAAACTTGTAAATTCAGCACCAATTTCATTTCAGATATGATTTCATAGAAGCAATGATTTGTGAATGATGTTAAAATTGACACCAAAACATATTTACAAACATTACTGCTGGGTAATTCTTAAAAATTATAATTATAGTAATTTTTTTCTTTTGATTCATACAATTCTGAAATCAGTGTACGTCTTTTATATATTGAATTTGTAACAATTCTTAGGATTTCTTAGAAGTGAAATAAGACAATGACATACAAGGATTTCTTTGACACAAGGTAAATTTTATACCATAAACTTTAAAACAGTTTTTCTAACATTCAGTCTTCAATTGTAAGAAATTAGATGGTGGTTTAGGCTACTCGTAATTAAAAACAAATCACTAACAAAAAAAAATATTGAACGAAGGACATTTAAACACACAATTAAAAAAGATTTATTAAAATGTTGACAAGTATTGCAAGAAGAAAAAAAAACCACTACTCTCTTTTTGAGATTTCCTCGTTTCATTTTTGCATTCAGCATCAGTAAGTCTTCACTTTGCGTATCTATATACAGCACTATCGGAATTTACAAATTATATACAGTCAAAATAAAATGATCTACAAATAATGAACTACACAGATTACTATACAAGTGGTGGGTGGGGTGGTGGATTTAAGAAATGCAAATTATTCAGGTGAGGATCTAACAAAATGAGGAATGGATCACCATATCTCTCCAGTGTAGGGTTTGAAAAATACTTTGCTTGACAATTTTTCATATAATTTCATAAGATTTTTTTATAGTAATAGGTATCTGATATGTGCTATTATTTGTCCTGTTTGATAGAATATCCACTGTGGAGCAAACACACCCTGATTCAACATAAACATTTTAACTGACCAGAAAAAATAATGAGTGCAACAGGTAAACATGACATGCAGACTTTGAGAGTAAGTCCTGTTGGCATAAGTGGGAATATCTTGTTAATGGAATGGTTCAAATGTTGCATAGAAACAAACTGAACATAAAATATTTTACTCCTACTAAGCACCTTAAAAAGAATTTAAAAAATGAACACCCAACTGAACTGCACTATCATCTTCAAAGAATGTAAAAAAAAAATTCCTTACATGTAAAACAGAAAAAATGTTAAATCCACTGTCACATTATAGGTTTTGGAATAAAAGTAATAGAAATTAATTAAAAATTACCAAGTATTGAGACATATGATGTAATTCTCAGTGTTAACAAAATAATCGTGTGTTATGATATAAATACTGATACACAGTTTTTTGACTTAAATAATAGTGAAACACTCTCCAGTTACACTGGTACCATACACATACAAGCACACATACACACATTCACACACATCATGCTGAAACTGCAGTCAAACGACAGTGCTGAAATATTTGCTAATAATTGACAGCCAATTACATTGCATACTGTCAAGGTGAGATAAAAAAAAATATCAACAAGCAAATCAGTCTCTAGCACATACTCACAAGCGTAAACTAGATAGAAATTCACTGATCTCACAACCTCACAAGTTTATTCCTCTTGCTCTAGCAAACACTCATCAATGCCATCCTTAGGATGCTAAAAGTATAAAGTCATTATGCAAAAACATGAGAAAACTGATAATTTTTTTGCGGTATGGTGTGGGACAACTCTTCTCTTTGACACACAGGCAGCAGTACTTGCAGTCCTGACTTGTTGCAGTATTTTTTTGATTGATCATACAACTCCTCGCCTGGACAAGAAAAATTGCACAAGATGTCAGCATCACAACTGAGGAATAATTTCAGTAATAACAAGCGCACTAAGTAAAAGCAAGCACACACAAGACTATACGAGAAATCCATCTGACATTTGAGAGAATTGTCCGAATCGTTGTGCACGCAGAGTTTGGATACTGTTCATGATTTTCTTTTGATGTCCTATTAATGTGACACCTACTCTTTGTTCTAAGTCTTGTTGAGTGATTTTCAACACTTGGTCCATTGTCCTATAACCACAGTTCAGGAAATTGTCAATGTATTTCTCCATTTTGATGGATATAAGCCAACCTTCCACGTTGGTGAAATTGGAAACTTCCCCTTGGCGATTCGTGGGCATTGTACGATGATTCGTGTCCATTAAGAATTCAGGCCTATAAAATATATATATTATACATATACACACTACCTGTATCATGTTCCCCAATTAAAACATCTTTTCTAGTTAAGGAGAATAACCTTTTTGTTACAACAAAATAATACAATATATCCAATTGGATCATCTACAATACTAATACATGTACTTTATAATAAATTTTAAATAGTGGCTCAGATTACAAAGTTGTTTTAAAGCATTGTTCTACAGGAAGTTTTTGTCAATCATACCTGGGTTTTGCAATTTTTCTGAGCAGTTCAGGAGCTCTGATAAATTTGTCCAGACTTTTGACAATGATGTCAAACTTTGGTCGGTTTCCTCTCTCTTTCTGCCAGCAGTCTAACATCAGCTGATGAAGTGCCTCGGGACAGTCCTGTCAAATGCAAGAAAATACAATCAGTCATATTAATCCACTTTAGACTGACCACCCTTTCCAGTCAAGGCAATCTATTGAACATGAGTTTTACATTAAGGAAAGCAATGATGCTTATTCATCATTACATTAAAATAGATTAACTTGGAAATGAACTTTAAAAATATTACCACTGTCAGAGTAACAACTTTTTCAGCTATTATGAATATAAAATAATTGTCAATGGCAATGAAAATATGCAGAATTTCCACTATATTTTGAAAATTTTGTTTCTCACCATAGGTGGTGGAAGTCTGTATCCACGATCCACAGCCCGAATGACATCTTGATTGGACCAGTTCCAATATGGCCTCTCACCATAGGAAACCACCTCCCACATAACCACTCCGTAACTCCAAACATCGCTGGCTGATGTGAACTTTCGGAAGGCAATGGCTTCTGGAGCGGTCCATCTAACTGGGATTTTTCCTCCCTGTATAAATTATGTTGCATGAAAAACTGGGGGTTTAAGTTTAAGGCAGGTCATATGTATATTAAATAAGAACATAGTAATTAAATTTAAAATCAATAGACAAATGATAAAAATATTTTTTTGTTGTGGAGAATTTACACAGATGAAATCTATAAGAACCAGTATGGGTGAGCATAGAAATAGGTACTAATACCTGGTGACTTAGAGTGGGTGTTTAATATAGTAACTTCAGTGCTAAAGTCTAGACTGTTTTTATCAGAGGAACCATTAGTGCACAATCAGATACAAGTATAATCCATTTAAGTCCTTAAGGCCAAAGTTACCGAGATGCTTCTGATGCAGGAGTGCATAATATTAGTGCTTCCATACCTTTGTTGTGTAAGCCCCATCAGTAGTGTCTATGTCGATTTCCCTGGACAATCCGAAATCGGCAACTTTACAGACCAGATTCCCATTAATCAGTATGTTCCGGGCAGCTAAGTCCTAAACAAGCAGAAGAGAGTTTACATAAAATGTTATGCATTTCAAGTTGTCTGCTGTGCAGTTGCTGAAATCTTTTAATGTAAAAATTTGGAAAGCTTGTATTAACCTTTGTCTGCCAAGTCACATACATTATCTCGCAAGTGAAATGTTTTGTTTGCAAGCCAATTCTTCTTAATCTCTTTCTCAATTTATCAAAATTTTACCCTATGATTCAATATCTGAAGGGCATAACAAGGTAGGATATACAATTATACATTAAATCAACTTTATTGCAACCATTTAATATCAGGGATTTTTCTAGTCAGAATTTTTCAAGCACTCAATCTTTCAAAAATTGAATTTTCTGATAAAGAAAGAAACAATCACTGAATAAAATAAAATTCAACTATTAATGCAATTTCAGAAAATCTACTAGAGCTTACAATAAATGGATTTATGTACCAGTATTTAATTAATCTCTATTTGAGAATCATAAAAAAGTATCTTGTAACTGTCAAACTACAATTCTAAGAACTTGTGATCCTTACTCTATGAACATAGCCCATGTTGGAGAGATATCTCATTCCCAGTGCGATCCCTCTCATCATTCCGACTAACTGCATGATTGTAAACTTCCCATCGTTGTTCTGGAAATAAATATCAAAAATCATAAATAACTACAAGAAGAAATTAAAACAAATACATCAACCTGAAAAATATATTTATGTCACCACAAGTGATTTGAGACCTTATCTAGATTATTAACACTGAAAATTATGAGTATACTTGGCAGATAAGTAGCATGCGACTTTCTATAAAAAAAAATGACAATGATACCCAGCAATTCTTGGCAATTCAATGAGTTACTCTTAAAGAACCCAATATGACAGAGGGTAGATTGTATCAACAATACTTTTTTCTGCAATATTCTTCAGCCAGAGAATTTTAGAAGGACTTCCTAGACAAATAGAAGAGATCATAAATCAGACTTAGCCTGATTCCCCCCTGACGAAAATCAGCTTATTCAGATTCAAGTTGGTTTTTCCAATGAGGAAATAATATGGGCAGACATGCATAAAAATTGCCCACAATAACAAGATTCTGCATTCTCTATCAATCCATCACTCATTTTCTCTCGTTTTGTAATCCCTGTGTCCTTCATCACGAAATAATTGATAATTTGTCTGTATGGAATGGTGTTTTTTTTCTGGCATTGCACTGACTTGGATACTTTTGTCAGCTAGGGTCTAGATTTTTTTTTGTGCAGAGTATAAATGTCTAGTTTTTCCCCTTGTATGGGTTAGAAGATTAATGGAGGTTTGATGGCGTTTTCAAGAACTGACAACAAACGTCATGAAAAATGACTTGGAGGGGAGAGAGCTGGCCCTGATTGCATTCAAGCCACTCATCAAAAACCAGTCAGTTTCCCCTCTTCTCTGGCAAATGCTTCCTCCACTCATTTATTTTCCATAAAAACTTTACACACAAACATTCAATAAAAGTCTTGAATTGCCAGTATAACTTAAAATTAATCTGCTTTTGTCATTCAATTGGAATGGACACAGATTTTCTATTTCTAATTTTTTTTCTTCAGCAGAATAGTAATATGGTAAATGCTAATCTATTCATGACTGTGCTCAAGTAGATATATATATCTTATGCACAGTTATTTTCATTATCAAATATCAATATTCCATAAGGATAACATATTTTTGCAACCAAATATACAAAATTATATGAATTTATAATTAACATTCTCTCATTCAATTTATTGGAATTCTCAGTCAGTCACACATTTTAATCAATCACATTTCATCACACACTGAGAGTTGACGTTTTACAACCCTTGATTAAAAAAAAATTCAAACATTCTTCTTCTAATTAATTTTTTGCAACACAATTTTCCATATTTAAACCAAATAGTCAACACGATGCAATATAGCTATATCTCTTAAGAAAACCTAATAATTACAGACTTTAGGGGGAAGAGGGAAATTTAAAGACAAATGAGTCTTGAAATATGCAAGAACTTCCGTAGATTATTTCCCAAATTGGCGATTATTTTTCCCCTGCAGCAAATTTGTCAAGTGGTGCCTGCTAAAGCGGCACTGTCATTGAGGCAGACAAAAAAAGATGAGTGCCACATTTTACAAGCCCTGCAGCTTAGTACCAGGTGTTGACATTTTGGAGGGACTAATTGATATTTATGTCCCTTTGTTTCCTGGTCCTTTCACCAAAATGTTGGTTTTATCCTAGCCATTGAATGTACATCTGCACCACATGATCATGGCCCAAAATTGATTAATTATTCCGGAGCATTACATGACTGGACCATAGAGTGAGTTATTACACATCTTAGTTAATCAGGAGGAATTTTATGAGTCCTTTTATTTGGATCTGCCAGGATATTTTATGACAAGACTGGAATATCAACTAACATTAACTCATCAATAAGAATATTTTTCTTGATTACTTCAGGAAAGTCTACGGAACATCAGGGTGGGAAAAAGAGAAGACCAATTTCCATCTCCCAAGTCATCTGTCTGGGTAAACAATCATCTCCCCATAAAGGAAGAGGTCCTAATTGAATAATATCGCTTTACCATGGTGTCTATTTAACTCTCACTGTGTTAGATTAATTTTAATTCTTATAAACAGCAAGTCAGGCATTTAAGGGACAAAAACCTTCAAACAGGGAACAGCAAGTTGTCCACAATTTTAAATTTCAGTGTTTTGTAGGAAAATTCAATTTTCTTAATTTTTTTTAAAAATGGGAAAGTTAACTTACTCGTAAAAATGTATCAAGTGATCCATTTTCCATATATTCCGTGACAATCATAATGGGATGACCTGCAAAGAAAGTGATCATATTCAACTTCCTAACCAAATAAAAGCAATTTTTATGTAATATTGAAAATGCACAACCGAGCATATCTTATAATGATAGAAATGAGTCCAAAAACTTTCCTTATTAATGATCAAAATTTCCAATAAACAACGACAGGAAGTGAAAAAAGTCTCCATGCATTCTTTAATGACATTTCAAAAAAAACGAGAAATTTCGATTTAGAAGGGGTGACAAAATCTGATAATTACTTTTTGTGACAACTCCTTCTAGAAATATAACATTCTGGTCATCAAACTGTCCCATTATGCTGGCTTCCGTCAGAAAATCTAAACGGTTTTTGTCTGTTGCGCCGGGCTTCAAAGTCTTTATTGCTACCGACATTTCAGGTTTTACAGGATTGCGTAGTTTTCCTTTGCAGACATCACCAAACTCTCCTTAAAAAGTAAATTTGGAAACTGAATGATAACACCTAAAAAAGGTTGTTTTTCTGATAAAATGTTCATCAAAATGCAATAAAGTTTTGAATTACTATCATGACTTCACCATAAAACAGTAGGCATGAAATTACAATAAAATTTTTACTCTACTGGTAATGATTATAGCAACAAACCTCCTCCAATGACTGATTCAATGGTGATGTGGGATGCATCAATTTCTCGTGTGAACTCTCGTACTGCTTGATTTGGGTCTTCGTAAGTATGGGGGTCAACATAAGACTTGACACAATCATTGGGGGGAAACAAAGGCATAGTCACTGTAACAGAAGGATTCAGTGCAGTGGGAAACCAACAACTTAAAATCATCTCATACTACAGATTTTCAATTTATTTAGTGTCCTAACAACATTATTTAGAAAATTATAAAATATCAATGTGTGTTTACAATTTGCTTCTCCATTTAAGCACATTTTATGGTAACTAGGGAATTATGCTACCAATAATTTAGCTATTCAAGCTATTCATAAAAGGCTTTTAATTAACTACAGGGATTTGATCTAAAAATGAAGAAAAGGAAAGAATGGAACATCCTTGATTACAATAATTGTTTGAACAACTGGTAAGGAATGTGAACTGTCACAATATTTGTATTCTTCTCATTAAGTCCTTCACATATCAATGTATAATTCACTGATAATCAAATTAGCTAATTCTGCATTGAGCCAATCACATTTCACAGACCCGCTCATTAAAAGCAAGTTAAGCAAGCACCTTATAATTTTCACATCAAGATGTATTTTCTAGAGGAGACTCGATCAGATCAATTGAAGAAGAAAACTAAATTTAAAAAAATATCTGCCATATTGGTCCACAAATCTGGAACTCCCAAATCCTACAGTTTAATAGCTATCAGCGAAATGAAAAAACAAGAGTATTATTAGCCTTTTCCTCTTTCATCTTATCTTTTAAATTGAAGCATTAAATCTTGATGCTTGTTCCACAAGCACTTTGATACACTAAGATTTTGGTTACATAACAATCCTCAGTTTGATGTCTCTTCCTTGTTTGTGTGTGATAGCATATTAATTTTCAATAAAAAAGGCTCCACCTCTTCTATCAATACCCCTCTGTCGAAGCACATTTTATCAATTTTCTTTATGACTCAAATTATTTTTAGTCTATCTACAGTGACAGTATTTTTCAGTGTTTTCAGATAGAGAAATGTCAATGATATTACCATTATGTTAAAAAGTGAGCAAGTTCATTGATGTGAAAATTTGGTGATACCAAGAAAAAGAAACATTAAAGAATAGTGTGTTGCAGATATGCAAGCAAAGTACAATTAGAAACTGTGCAAATACGGTGCAGAACTTTTATCAGAGGCGCTACTGTAAGGCATGGCGCTATCGTGCAGCTAGAAGCAACTGTATAAAAGAATCATAAGAAATTTTAGGGTGATAAAGATGGCACAAAAATCATACATTGATATTAGTGTCTGAAGAATGAAAAACTTAGAAATGAAGAGTTGAAAGAATGTTTTAAAAAGGGTGTACGATACCAAATAAATTCCCCCAAGTGTGGCTATTATTATTAGAGTCTATAAAACTATAATCTAACTAATTAGGTTATTACAAGTATACACGCTACTTACATCCACCATTCATATGGGGCTCCAAAGGGGGACAATGGAGAACTACAGGAATAAAAATTTATGAGTAAAGCAGAAAAAAAAATCAAAACATAATTAAGCATAAGCCCACAAAAAAATGAGATTTCAACTTGCTTCACTTCTGAAATATGGATAGCTTTGAAATTCCATGACTTCAAGATAAATTTTTTAATTAGAAAAAAAAAATTGCTATCAATGTTTTCTTTTGCAAAATTTTGTTTTCATTACCATTTGACAGCTTTCTTAAGTTCTCAAATTATAGCATAAACATTTCTTATCATTTCAATGCATGCACAATCTTGCATGATAAAGAGTCAGCCATGCAATGGAAGAACTTTCACTTTTTATGCAGTATCTATTTTCTATCTCTACCCTTCACCATTACTTCTACTAAATATTAAAAACAATATTTCATATGGTCAATTTTTCTGTATTTCATTTCAGTAATTTAAATTACTGGTACTTTTAAGGCATGATAACAAAATGCAGACTTGCTTGAACATTCTTGTATAATGAATGATCTCAATTTAAAGACAAAACAAAAACAGGCAGACATTTACATAAACAAGACAGTCAAATAAAACAAGAACTCAAAAAACATTTTCTTTCAGTAAAAGGAAATAAATTTAGAAAGTACATGTAAAATAAGAATGTATCATGCAATAATATGTATATATCTGTGCATGCTGTAGGATTGCAAGAAGTGTTAGTATGACATTGCTTTAATACGCCAGCTTGTTAAATTTGTCTCAAAGTATGAAAAAAAGGGGGTAAAACAAATTCAATGTTCTTTCACATTCCTTACCAAATGCAATCAAAAATGCTTAATGTGACAAACTGTTAAACATCAACAACACACATTGTCATGGCAACAGACCCACTGGTCTCTACATCTTCTGACACTAGCTGTAACTATGCCTACATTTCTGATTAGTACGTGCAAAAACGTGCATACCCTCACCCGGATTGTACTGTGGGTCGTATTCTCCACAACTCTTGTCATTTTGACTATCTCGTTGATTTCTACAACAGAACAATACATGTGAATAATAAGAATTGACTTTAACACGAATTAGCATCTACATTGTCATTTTATGGAATTCCCTGATAGAATTATAATGCGCCCCTTGCACTACTAATTTCATATACTTAATTTAACAAAAAACATAACTTGATAAACTTTCATCAATAATTTGCTCAGAACTTTTTCCATCACACTTCTGAAATAATTACAGTACGGATTCTAGTATTTTATTTCCGTGTTTAGGTCGGACTAACCTTTTGATGAGTATGACTATCATGCCTGTAGCGATGGCCATACAGAGTATCACCGCCAGGACAGCTGCAATGATGATCCCGACAGACAACTGCTGAGGTGGATCTATCTCTTCCTTTCCTGTAATAAAAAGGACAGCTGTATTTCAGTACTTATCTTAATGTACAGTCTACTTATCGAAGTGTGGATCAATATTTTTAAGTATATAAAAAAAATGGGCACTTATTTGAGATTGCTTTTTAGTACCAGTAATTGCTCAGAGGCTAAAAGAAGCTAGCTAACAATTATAACACAATTAGGCCACAATATATCTGTCAAGAAAGCATGTGAATAACCATTATTTTTTTATATCACTATTAAATTTGCATCACATAAGTAAGTTAAAGTGAGAAAGAGAGTATAAAGCATTCATTCAGAAACTTGAACAAATTTCCTCACGAGAAAACTTGGTCACAAAGTTATAGAAATAAAGTCAATTCATTTACTACATTCTGCATCAAACATTCACACAGTATCATAAATGGACTAGTTCTTAGTACCAGTAAAATAGTTTACATTAGAAGACAATTTACATGCATACATTAAGACTAAGTGTTTGAATTACATAGCAGAATATCTTTATACAGAACTTCTACCTCTATCGGGCTGGGCCATACCATCCCATCTACCTGTAGCAATTGGATACTGATGTGAAATTTCTATATTTTTCCTTAATCATTTTCTGAATAATTTTCAAGTTTGCATCTCTGTACAGTGTATCAATCTGGTGCTCTTAAAATGTCTTCTAAAAATTTTTGCAATGATCTACTGATTAAATGCATTTTTTAAGCACAGACTTAGATCTTTTAGATGATGTTCTCAATACTGGAATTTGCAATTACACTTCCTGTTTAATTAACTTACCGATTGGTTCTCCTGGTATGACGTTTATTGGCTGCGTGAAGTCGCCCCATCCTTTCTCTACCTGAAAGCACCTCACCTAAAAATACACAATAACTCGGTACAGTATTTTGTTAACTACAATATAGTGCCTTGTTTAATGTCAATGGTACATGAACCTCTTTACAAAAACATCAGTTACTTCAAATGTCGACATTCCAAATTTTAATTAATACAATAAAGAAGATGGAATTCTAGTGAATTCAAATCAAATAGTTAGCGGGAGCCCCAAGTTTTTCACTATAAGTCCACTCTTACAGCACTGCATGACTTTTTTTTTCTTAAACAACAGTTGAAGTGTTTGTGGTAATTTTCTTGTAAGTATGGGTTGGGTTCTTTCGAGCAGGTTTCAGTGAAACACTCTTCGAACCAGTGAAAGTTCTAAGGACTTTGTGGTTATGAGGAATAATCATTCCTACTCTGTCCAAAATAATGAAATTGTAATTATGTTCCCCAAACGAAGTTTGGGAACATATTGTTTTTACTCTGTTTCTTATTATTATTATTATTATTATTATTATTCTTTTTTTCTACTTTCTTCTCCGGTACTTTTTTGTCCGGGAGTGTTCTCATAGAACCACTCATCCGATTGACATGAAACCTTTTTAGGGTTAATAGGCATGTTGTGTAGGTGTGTGGAACGAAGGTCATTTTGCGCGCACATGCATGCACGTGCGCGCGCGTGCAATGAGTGAAATGACTGATATACTTGATGAAGCCGTAACTTTTATATTTCTTGATCAATTGCTTTGAAACTCAAAATATAAAGATATATTAGTAGTCTAGACAAGACAACATGGTCAAATTAGCATGAACTCACGCGCATGCATGTGCGCTCTTCTCTGATTGGCTGATACAAAAATCTCAATAATTTCCTTGTTTTTTGACAAAATACTTTGAAATTTAGAATATAAGTATATATTATAAGGTGCTACAACATGTTATATAGGAAATTTCTTGAAAACACGCGCATGCAGGTGTGCTGCAAACTGATTGGTTGAAACTTTAAATGTCTTTAACTCCCTTGGTTTTTAACAAAACAGGATGAAATTTAAGACATGGATAGGCACATAGAGCTCCTACATTATGATACTATCAAAATTGAATGCAAGGCCATGCATGCGGGTATGCTGAATTTTGATTGGCTAATACTTAAAGGGTTACATCTCTCTTATTTTTCAATGAAATTCTTTAATATTTAAAACAAATGTATGTATTGTGAGACACTATAAGATAATTAATGTAAAAAATGTAGCTATTAGATTGGCTCATACCCATATGGCTATATCGGAGTAGTTTTCCAATGAAATACCCTTAAAAATAAAGTGTCCATCTATATTACAAAAGTATTGTCTAATTTATTGAAGCTTGTAGGGAATGGGGCATCACAAGGGATTGGGGAGCCGTTTGGGGAACATCTGTAACGGTTCCCGTTACAATTAGCACTAGTTGTATTTATGATGAATTATGACACAAGGAAGCCGGGAGAGAGAGAATTTAATTAACCATCCTCAGAAGTTCATTATAACCAGTGGTTTAGTGTACATCTTCCTACAATCATCAGGAGGATCCTAGAATTATTGGATTTTAGGTGGAAATGAAATGACAAAGCACCACTCACTTCCATGACACGACGCTTACAATTCCTTCATTTCTCTCTCTGTCCACTTTATCAATTAACACACAAAAAAACGCCAGCTTTTAAGAAAACCAGTTATATATTGACTCAGTCTTAAGGTTTTGTTCACAGTGTCTGTGATGCCTTGTTTAGTTTCAACAAGCTCCCAATTAGTGAATATACATGAACAAACGGAAAATTTTCTGATGCCTTAAGAAAAAGGGAATATACTGTAGACGTACTTAATTTACGCTATATGTATGTGGTCACAAATTTTCCAGGGAAATTTGTCACAGCATAAAACATACAGAGGCAATCTGTTTTCTTTTTTTACCCATTTATTTGGCAGTTGGGTATATACTGGAAGTAAAAATTATTGGGGCAGAACATTACCTTCAACATATGACTTTTTAATGCAAGTATCAGACAAAACAATTATTTAACAGATTTAAGTGGGACTGATCTTTTTTATTATTCCTGATCTAAGATAGGCTTTAACTATCTATTTATTTCCTAATTTCCTTTGACAAAAAATAAACAGGTACTAAAAATTAAACATTTAACCTGTGGAAAACACTTTAATTTTGCTATTAAATCTGAAAAATTATAGGTTTCTTGCTTCAAAGTTGGAGAAAACGTGGCATATTGAAAAACGGAGCGCTCATCTGTGACTGCAATTCACAGTTTTTTTCTGTCTTCTGGCGACAGCTTTCTCCATAGAACATTACATAAAACATGATAAAGTCTGCCAGTTAGACAAGTATAAGGATTTTTATTAGAGCCCAACAGAAGCCTAACATCAGTTTAAGCCCTCTGTAACATTTATCATGTGCAGAAACTCAAGTTCAAGAACTGATTAATCACAGGTTTGGCAGATTTTCACCTTGGTAGCATAAAATTGCACAATTTTTTTCTGCTACTTGTGAGCAATTAAGTCATATGCTTTAAGATCACATCAGAGACCTCACATGATGAGCTGAAGTTGCAATATCTAGTAACCAAATATGACCTACAATGAAAAAAGACACAGTACTACCAATACCTTGTAGCTCTTCTCAGTTCTCACAAGTAATTTTCAGATTAACAGATGTCTGGAGAGGAAAAAAAGGTGTCAATTTTACCTGTAACCAAACTCTTTTGTCATTGAAAAATATGCATTATTATGAAGGAAAAAAAAATCAGAAACTTATCAGCTAATGCTTATTTCCATTATATAACCTGAGCTGTAAAAGCCATATGTAAGTTCCACACCTCTCATAGAGCTGTTCCATAAAGAAATGGACTGAGGAGGTCTTCCAGTAACCTTACATAACTAAAAGGCACCTCTTGATCGTTTTATAGCTCTGAGAACCATCTGCTAGCTGTGTTCAATTCGGTATTCAAGTCCAAATCTTGAATTTGTTTTTGAACCACTACAAGATTAGATTTTTTTGGTATCATCTCCCAAGATAAATTTGATGAATTAGATTACTGAATCACACTTGGAGGTGTAAAATTTCTCCCTTATCGACAGAAAGTAAAAATTCAAACCCTGCATGATAAATGTTATCTTGTTTTTTGCTGAAACATTTATCACTAATCAGGGCAGAGAACTCCTGCTGATAAAAGACAATAAATTGTAAAATGAAGCATCATACTCTTTATTCCCATCTTGAACTACCCCAAAACCCAAAAACATTTCTCTCTCTCTTTTTTTTAAAAGGAAAAATGGCATAATTTTATACTAACAAATGTCTGAGCTATCATTGAAAGGCAAAATCTTAAAGGACCATATATAGTATTAATTACCTCTTGTTTTTTAAGAGGAAATCCTTGAGATTCTATGGCAAAAATAAAATTATTTAACACCAGTGATTTAATTGAAAAGATGAACAGCAATCTTGCATAAAAAAGAGGAAAATGATACTCCTTTAGCAATTTTTTTTTTCATGTCTTAGTTGGTTAAATCATTGAACCATATGTTTTGTCCTCTGAAGTGACAAAAGTGAAAGGTCCCTTGCTGGTTTTAACTCTTGTCCTGCACGACACATTCAATATGGCACCAAATTTCTTCCACATAACCTGATTTTGCCAAATATTTCCCCCCTCTTACACAGCATCAATATAAAATATTGAGTTGTTGCCTATTGAATGAAGTTTGCTGAGCTGTAAAATTTCTTCATTTCATTTGCTCATTTTTTGTGTCTTTTAGCAGATATTAGAAAGATGAATTGGTTCCATGGAGTATTGGTATTATCAATGCACTCTTGTAAGTTTATAAACCCTAATAATTCAGATTTAGCATCTCCAGAGGTTTTCTATATCGACACACCATGAACAATTAGATATCCTACATAAAGGACAATTTTTATTGCCTTAGCGTGCTACAGTATCATTAATGCTAAAATCTTAAACAACTCAGAAAAAAAAATTAAATTGAATTTTCAAGAATCCTTACACACATAATGAGAAAATTTTCTTCAGGAACAAGAATGAAGAATGCTTTTATTAAAGTGTAAAAAAAAAAAACAGCAGTGAATGCATATGCAGGATATGAACCCAATACTGAGTATGTTTTATATGTTAAAGGTAATCTCCTAACACTCAGTACATTTTATATGTTGATTAAGTTGCTACTGCAGCATTAAAAAATCATGGTAAAATGTCCAGCATTTGCTTTGATTTTTATCAGATTATGCAAGCGTGCAAATTTTATTATGATTTGAGCATCTCAAATAGAAGGAAACCTCTTCATTAATTGATATGTTCCAAATTACTTTGCTTAAAAGGGAGAGAAACTGCCAACTTCCTAAAGAAATAACAAGTAATTACAGGTGGTAAGCTTTACAACTCCGTTGATTTTCAGGTAACGGGTACCAATAGAAACATTTGATTAAAAGAAAAGGGACATAAAAATGGTTCTCCATGAATGAACATGACCATAAAATGGTTCAATTTTGTGCTACCAATCAATTCACTTCACAATATACAGGAAGACCTGGCTATTCCCAAAACATACATTTGCGGCACGCAGGGTGAATCTTCTGACTTCACCTTTGCGTTTTATGTTCCCCGCTATAAAAGGGTATTAACATAGCAACCGTTTGAAACAGTCCACTTAATTGAAAATGTGCCACATGTAAGATAGGGATATTGGTAATGAGAGTGTTAAGTTTGAATTCAATATTCAACAAAATGAGCTAAAAACCCACTAACATCAGAAAAAAATTATATCTTGACATTAAAAGATTATATCTTGACATTCCATCACTGGTGATTTTCATTCAAAGATTTGTCTGCACACTTTGTTGAAATTACGCCATTCTAAATTATTTACAAGAATAAAATCAATCAATACTTAATTATAGACAATAGTTCTGATTACAAGGTATATTAACCCATTCTCTTTACTATCTGGCACAAAACTTAATTATTTCATACCAACTTTAATATAATAACTATTAGCATAAGCAATTTTAAGATTATTTTTCCTCCCCACACCCACTGACAATCATCAAATTTGTTCAGTTCTTCAACACATGCCTTTTATCACTTTCTGATACATGGGCAGATACGCTTAAGTTTCAATACGTCAGGCATCTCTTGAAAAGATATTTTTTCGAAATATTACATCAGTCTAGATGCACTTTTTGCAGCAGATCTTGTTTAAATTAAATACTATAACATTTTAGTTAAGATCATATTCTACAGCAAATGGTTTTCCTTAAGTGAATTGGAAGATGTCATACAAAGGGTTTACTTAGCCCTCTGATGCAATCAACCTGTGGAAGATAAAATGGAGAGAAGCGTTTTTATCCTTGAGTTGAGATCAAGACAATTTCCTCCACTAAAAATGTGTATGCCTAACAAACACAGAAACTTCAATAAATTGTCAAGCATTTTGTCTTAGTAACTTAATTATGGCTCTCTCCTCGGAGCAGTGTTTTTGTTAGATTAGAACTCGCATTAAAAACAAAATATGGATACTTTAGTAATGAAATAATCTTTTTTATAGAATTTCTTTCATCTGACAAATCAGTCAATGGTTATATTTGTAATGCTCTTTTAGAAAATCTCTCATATATCCCTATCAATAGGAATTTTTTTTTGCATCAGAGATAAAATACTTTCATAATAACCCAACACTCTATAGAAAAAATACAAACAGAATCTGCATGTCTTGTTATTCAACAATTTTTACTTTGAAAACAGACTTTTCCACTTAAACATTACTGCACATTGCAGAAATAATGGCATGCTTCAATGAGTGAAGTTTACTTTTGTATCTCTGAACAAAGTCAGGGGTTAAGTATACTATGATAAACAATTCTTGCTTTCTGAATTTGGAAAATGCACACTGGCAGAAAAATGTGAAGTATAAATTCAATTAAAGCCCTTTCAGTTGCAAAGTTTAATTAAATAAGTTGAAATTACTTTTTTTTTGGTCCAGTTATCTGTACAGAAATGCAACTGTTTCAGTTCATACCTATGTTGATAACTTATAAATACTGATAACACCAAGAAATACTCTGATAAATTACCTGAAGACTGTACTCTGCTCCCAAGTTGAGATTCTTAAATGTATAATTCTGGTGGTTGGCCGATATATTTTTTAGGAAGATGTTTCCATTTCCTAGTCTTGGTGCACTACGGACCTGGTAGAACATGACCTTGTTTCTGATGTTAGGCGCAATATCCCAGGTGACTGTAATTTCTGTCTGGCCACGATTGCTGATCTGGAAGTTGACAATGGTTTGGGTACTAGCCTTGGTTGTGTACTGTCCTTCATCAAACTCCACCGGAATGTTGCTCTGGTTGCTGACGCCATTTACAGCAGATACTCTAATACTATACTTGGTGCTTGATGTCAACCCCGTGATTGATACCCTAGGAACAATAAAAAAATCGTGCAAGGTAGTGTTTGCCATATACCAACAAAATCCTCCTTTAAATATATTTGTACATTCTCTATCATATGTATCTATAATAAGCATTTTAGCAATTAGCTTTATGAGCAGGAACAAATTGATTTTTTTCCTTTTTAATGCTTGTAATGATCTATCTTTGGGTACTTGAACACTTCAATTCAAAGCACTATGCCCACTGTCTAAAAACTACATTGATCCTAACTTTGGTTACCTATCATAAAGCTACCATTCTTTTTTGTCCCTTTTCAAATTTTACAGACATTACTACTAGTAATTTTATGCCCTCTCTACCTTGTCTGGTTAATGTTTTCCCAGCCTGGGTGGAACGACACACTCTCACAAGGAGTACAGGCTACCCTATAGCGGACATCTTTTCTCCCTCCATCTGACATGGGAGGTATCCATGATAACGTAATGGAGTTATGGGTTATCTCCTCAGCTACTAAATTCCGAGGCTTGGATGGTGGCTCTGCAATAATTTAAAATCATGTTGATGACATACACTAGTTTTTGGAATGATGTATTTTACTATTTTTTGGAAGATACATTGATGTATTTCATTTTACAAAAATGTAAATTTACTGATAAAAATTCCATCTTTCTTAGCTGAATTTTGAATTCAAGCAGAATCACTTTTTAAAAAAAATAAAAACAGAAAACAAGTTGTGAACTGTACCGAGAAAGAGGACGTTTGCCATCCAATTTGTACTGATTGTACTTATTTTTTAACTAAGCTGATGATTTTAACAATGATATTTTTTGTTTTCTCGATTACCTCCCTTACTTAACAAAGCTACAGGTGTTTCTGTTGAGTTGATAAAATCTAAAACTTTCTATGTGTGGCAATGTGTGCAAAATATCAGTAAAATTTAGTGTGCTTTAAACTCGTGCTCATAGAAGCATGACTATCTTGTTCTGCCATACATTTGAGCTGGAAATTGCTCTACCCATTATTATGATATTTCACCTCAATTTTCATAATTCCAAACAAAGATATCACAATTTACATGGTAAATTATCATGTCAATGCTTAAAGTCGTAACCAATGCTGAGATATATCTTATATCTGTTTAAACTATGACTAAGGAATCAACAATTAGAGCTTAATTTCCCAGATTTTAAAGCTAACTATAATATTTTTTTTTTTAAAGATGGAAATTAACACAGTGCATTCCTCATTATCCACAAATATTAAAGAATTCTGTCTGTTAATATGCCTTTCTTTAATGTGTCTGTGACATGCGATTTTAAATCGAGATATCTGAATGCTGGGTGTTATTTTTGTCAACATAAATCAGAACCATATTAAAAAGGTGTAGAAGCTCCAGCTAGAAACCTTTTTATGACCGTTTGCTAAAAGTCATTGAAATTGCACTCGCTCTTTTGTACCCCTTGCGTGTTCCATATTCCCCCTAACATTTAAGAAATTGTCAAGAAACACCCCTGAAAAGCCTAGTGACTGAAACTAATATGAAATATAATCCCTATCATAGAATTTCTAACTTTTGTGTACAAAGTTGCCAGAGGTCATTGTCATATTTTGGAAATGTGTTGGTCCTTTTATTATAGAAATTTAACAAATGAATGCATGAAAGAAATTATATGCATGTATTGACTGATGTTTAGTATAAAATGGATATAAAAGCAATATTTGTCATTGGTTTGGTATTTTATTTCAATATAAGCAAATTAAAATTGAATATTAAACCCTGCATTTCAACTTCAATATATCTCAAATAACATATATGGTCTCGTTTCATCATTTTTAGCCTATAGCTCTCAATCTCAAAGAGAGAAAATGTTTTCAATATTTTATGATTACCAACACTTCTAGAAGTCAGTAGATATAATATTTCATCTGCCCTGACAGATTTGTTCTCATTTAACATATCAATCATTTATTTTATATAAAATAGGGCTTTGTATCAATTGAGACTTACGAGTACAAGAGGAGTTTTTGCTGTCTTTTGGATTGCGATAGTAGCCATCCGCACACGTGCACTCCACGGACCGTGGTACATTTGTATAACTGTTAGAAGGGCATGGTATGCATGGAGTATTTCCCAGGAGCCACTTAAAGAAGCCAGGTCTACATCCTACAACAACAAAATTATAAATATGAGAAAAATACAGATGAAATACTGGTACATAAAATTTTTTCACAACTAAAAAAAAAACTACATCCAAATATGGGCTGTTTGGTAAATTTTTCCTATCCATTTCCCCCCTCTCCTTCTTGCCTATTTTGTACTGTATTATAAACAAGATAAAGTCTTTTTCTCCCCACCTGAAAATCAAAAAAGGTCCCCATTGAATTTGGTATGAAAATCAGTGATATTTGTTATTGTACTTCAGCATATTTTTTCTCTCAAATTAATTAGCTTAGCAAAGTATGCATATTTACATTATTATAAACCTCAAAAGTTTTAAAATAACCGGTGATTTGCATCAATTTACAATCAGTAATGCTCACTTCTATTAAAGCAATTAAAAAAGAGTTGGTGAACGGTCTACATTTATTGTTATAATGCATGCATAGACCTTTTGCAGCCTTACATACCAAATATACAAGTCATGTACAGCTGTGCACCAACTGCACTGTTCCATGTATATCAAAATGATGAAAATTTTCATCAAAACTTTATAGCTTCCTAACCGTATTACTTAACACAGTCATTAAAATGCTTCCGAAATTACTTTGCCTTCATTTCTGATGAGTCTGTGCTCCGTAGCTTTCAATGAATGCCAAAAAATGACATATTTAATATCTCAATTTATGTTCTTTTAAATGCAGTAATCACTTCGACATTAAATATGATACTCAGCAACAAAAGAAAACTAAAAGCAACCTCCTACGGAAATTATTTGAAAACAGATCTCCTATGACAAGTCAGACAATATAAGGATACTATTTCCTCACAGTTTTTATAAAATCCACCAGCTCGTGGATCAAATGGAAAAAAAGTTAATATAACGACACAAACTAGGTATAGTTGTGGCTGAAACTTAATTCTTACCAACAACAATATGTTACAGTATTGTTTTTTCACTGATGTTAAAATGTTTGACAGAGAACACTCTTTTTCACAGAATACGTGATAAACAAACTCAATGTAACATATATTCTATTACAGAAGATAGCCATCTTTAATGATCTACCCTCTGAAGTCCAACCCTTCTGCTTTTTTTCAAACCAGTTCAAGTGTGTCATGTTTTCTCATGGCCTCAAAGAAACAGCCGTACAAATTCCTACACTAACAACTTAACCCCATTTCTTGTATAACAGGAATAACTGTAGATAGAAATTAAACAAAAGATACACAAAATGCCTGATTGAAGTTCCCATGGTATCAAATTCAATTATTTACTTTAATTAAAACAAGATCCATCAGACACTTTTTTCCAGACTAAAGCCCAATATTACGATTTCTCTAAGGAATTGTAAATACTATACAATACCAATCAAACAAATAATAAACGAATAATAATTATCTTCATTCAAGCAAGCTCTCCCTATAAACCTAAAAATCAGCAAAAGAATTATCTCCCCTTGATTTAAAAGCCTTTTGTGGTATCACTAAACTTTTAAGCACAGTTTTACTCAACAGAATTTAGGCTGTACTAAGTGCTATTGTCTATAGCAAGGGTTCATCAAATCTGCAACTATAATGCCAGGCTGTATCAACAGTCAGAATCTAAATTACATGAATAAAATTTTTTTCTTGGGCCCAGTGGGAGAGTTTAAACACTCTGTTCAAATGAAGTTATCTGCCCATCAAACCACTGCAATTTGATAGATGCATTACTGGGGCTGGTGTGATGGCATCATGCGGTAATTAACTGCCTTTCACTAATTGTTGCCGAATATAAAATGGAAAGTAAAACATAAAATGCAGGATATTTCATTGCCATCATAAAATTGGCTGCAATAGAGTTTACATAGAAGAGATAGGAATTTTTCAATTCTCTCCCTAAAATCATTTACTTTCAGAATGATGCAATTTTCTCATAAAATTTTTCCACTGCCCTGCATCCAAGTTGCAATGCAAGATAATGCTGATCACTCACATTAAAATCTAAACAGGAAAACATAACCATAAATAATTCTATTAAAATTAAATGATTGTTGATCATATTAGATAAGCAGGATGACACTCACAATTTTTCATACAAAATTTCACAAACCTGTGATATTTTCCATAAATTTTATTGCAAGTAAATGCTTGTGAAAAGCATTTAGTCCTTTCAAAACTAGTTAATATTAATGTTCTGTTATCAAACATGGAGTCTCTAAAAATTGCGCTTGTCTGAACACCATATTAATGTTATTATATTGTTACACTTTGCATAAAAAACATTTTTAGCAACCATTGTATCATTAATTGCTTTATTTTTCACCCCCAATTTTAGTTGCTCTTCACATTTACACTTAGAAATACACTCAGATTTTATTTTCTTGTCTGTTGACAGCTCAATTGTTGCTATACCTACACAAAGAGGGACACAGCAATCAGCAATTTAATTCTCCTCCAAATCGCATAATATCCCTTCAAATCTCAAATAGCTCTTCTCCAGATACTGGTACCCAAGTGGTCTGGGCTGAACAATAACTTGTGGTCAAAATCATTTAAATGCCCAGAATCTGGCCCATTTGACCCCAATTACTTTACAATAATTCCCTCATGAATCAAATTTGTGGAAAACACATTCTACCAGACAAAGCTGTGTGGTTATTTATTATAAAGAAGCACTCCAGCAGCGAGGAAGGTCATGCAAGAAAAAACATCTTTCATGCCCGACATACTAGATTTTAATGGATATTTAAGGCCCTTTATCTCAGAGAGTTTATTTGCCGGGTGAAAGTGTATATAGAATTCAACAAATTTTTATACATGTATAATGGACATGTGCATTGAGGGCAGGTGCATAAGAAAAAAATCAAGATGCAAGTTTTGGTAATGATTTAAACAGTGTATGAACCTTTGACAGTATTTTCTTAATATAATACCTTACTCTAGACATAACTGAAATGATTTTACTTGATAGTTCTGGAAAACAGAAACTGAAATGTTATAAACATTAACATATGGCAACACCTCTAAGAACTCCGAAAATAAGTGGACCCTCTAACAAGCTGCTTGACCGCTTGACCTACTCCTAAATTGGCATCCTGTATCCCTCAAATTGTCCAGTGCAATTCATGCATCTCTTCTGGATATCCTGTCCTTGCCATAGCAACAAAGCAGCCAGGAAAGAAAAATGTACCTTTATTACCTGGTCTGGTGGATCACCTTAGTAGTGGCTTTGTGAAGCAGAACAATGTGTAATGGATGGGGACATCAATTTAGCAACTGAAATCTGTCATTATGACAAAAGTCAAATTAAGATTGGACCAGCAAATGTTGAGTGTTGGACCTCCTAAAGCACTATTGTATGGGGACTGCAACAGTTGCCAGTGGCATTAACTCCATGATACCCCTAATCCACAGATCAAAAAAGTGGCAGCCGTCTGCCCTGCATGCCCAACGTGTAAATTATATTACGTTATGAAAATCGCTACAGTTTTCAATATTTTGTTCCCTAAAACTTCTTTAATCTTTTCATTTATTTCCTTTCCTTTATTATCCCCTCTTCTTTTTGCATTAATAGGATGATTAAGATAAAAACATCAAGTTGCCTGGAAAAAAATGACATTAAAAAACAGCATTTCCTTTGATTTACAACCTTTTCAAATTAGCAGTTTTTCCATTCTCCTTTTATCTGAATGTCCATTCATTAAAGAAGGGTATATAAAATCAGTAAGACCTAATTTACATATGTTTGAAAAAGCCTGTCTTCAGGTTATCCTTTTCTTGCAGAACTGCAGATCTTAAGATTAATATCTGAATAATCTATGGGTGAAAAAAAAATTCAATATGATTGCCACCTAAAGAAACAGATTATCATCATGGACAGTAGACTAGCAGGAAACTGTAAAGCCAGAATTAAAAAAGACCTTAGGAATGGCCACAGCTTTCAGACTCATGCTGATACAAATCCTACTCCACAGGACTCTACATTCACAGTATTATCTTTAAGATGGGATTTTTTCCCCTGACAACATAAGCAAAATCTAAAATGTGATGGCCAGCTTTAATGATGCTCTATTTTAGGTCTAAAGGGTTCATGCATGCAGATGTGCATTAAAATTCTGAGATATTTTCATGCTGAATTTCTTTTATTAAAAAAAAAAACTGGAGTAAAAAATGAACTTATCAAATTCTCTATTATTTTTTGGAAAAATCTCTTTATCCCTGAAATCTTATATAATTTGAAAGGACAAGGAAACAACATATTATCTATTTCTTACAGACTTTCTGCAATTTTCAACAAGAAAATTAATTTGATTTCCTACCTAAACCTAATAAAGAACACAAGCAACACCTTCCAGGATTATACAAGACTTTGGAGAAATCAGTATCTCACACCTTAATGGGCATGAACTGGGAATACACAGTTTCAGTGTCTAGCCTGGGATAAGTTGCAGTAAATTACTGTTTATGAGAGTATAAGGTTACCAATAGGTCAAACTATCAGGGACCCCTGGGGACTTCACAGACATCAAATAGCCATTACACTGTAAGAAGCTGTATGGTCAATTGAATTTAAGTGAAAGCTGATCATGGACATGTCTGCACTAGACCCTCTATTCTCCAATCAATGCCTCTATCCTAGCTTTCCTTCCCTAGAACAATTTCCTAAAAGAACTTTTGTAATACCTAGGTATCATACATGTAGAGACAGTTAACATGACAAATTTCCATGAGTTTGAAAATTATTAGAATTTATAATAATTTTTTTCATGGGAGAATCAAGACTTTGGTCCATCAGGGATGTATGGGTGTCTAGCATGGTCTCAAGATGAAATGAAATACTGACATTTTTCTGAGAGTTAAGATCTATCCTTATCAATGACACTTCTCATCAAAATCATGCTCTTATTTGCCATGCTCACCGCTCCTTTGTGGCCTCATCAAAAAGCAATTTATGTTCTTTTCTTTCACTCTCTTCCTTGATTTGTTTACCATTTGTTAGAAAATGTTTTAATTCTAGACTGAGATGCTATTTTTTTTAAAACCTGTTACCATGTTTTTGACATTATATAATGCAGAAAAGTAAATGATCCACAAACTTTTTTATATTTATTGCTTTTTGTGTCTGCTATAACAATTGAGGGAGGAAATTTTTCATCTTAATCTTTACCTCATGTGTGGTAGTTAGCAATTCTTTTTTGGTTCTATAAAATTGCTTTTTCTGAGGCAATAAAACAGCCAGCAAGCTCCGATATATAGACTTCTAAAAAATGTTTTCTTCAAGTGAAAATATACTTTACATCGACACAAAAATTTTGGTTTGGAAAAAATATCACCAACTGTTACTGATAGTGCCAAACTGCACCATTTTTATGAGGCTACTGTCTTCATAACTCCATACTGATGTAAACATATGTTCCAACATGCAGGGCCATTTATTTTAATTGGCCTGACCTTGAACGACCTCTCGTTGCTGTTCCCCATGGCTCTAGTGTTGTTATCACTGATAACAAAGCAAACAAATTAACCTAATGCATGCCCAATTATTTTTTTTTAAACTGCTGACTTCACCACCAAAAGTGCTTAACACCAGCATATACACTAATAAATTCATTATCAAGAAAAGACTGCCTTTGTTGGGATTTTGCTTTTCATGGGAGGTAAAGTTTGTAAACAATATTTAGGCTAATCATATATCTATTGATATTCCTTTTTTAAAACATCAAATTCTAATAGTAATCAAAGGCTGAGCTTCAAGATTTAATTACTGTATACATACTTTTTTCCGTGTGGGATTAATTTACGCTATGTACGCGGTCACAGATTTTCCACAGAAATTTGTCACAGCATACTTAAATTGCATTTAATACCAACAATAGCAATTCAAGAAACCCACATAATTTTTCTACCAACAGAAATTCCGCAGAATTATGACCCCGTGGAAAAAAGTATGCTTACAGTAATCTTAATACATATCATTTTCATATGCTAAAGATAATCCTGTAATGAATTCTTAATTTAATTCACTAATGGATACCCACCCACACATGCTGTTCCTCCTTGTCCCTCATAGCCAGACAAACACTGACACTGTCCAGTAGGGTAGGTCCACATACCATCACTCCGACACAGATACTTGGGGCGGGTCTTCTCCGCGGCATTTGCTACACAGACCCCTGTGTGTTCCTCAAATCCTGGGTTCACTCGACCAACAGGGGTTTCTTGGAAAAATGCATAATTGACGGTGATATTCGGACACATAATGTATGAAACTTTTACGGAGATCAAAGTGACACATGCTCCAAGGTCCTGAAAAGCAATGTACACACCCCCCATTCCAGGGGTTAAGGGTACATCCCTAACTTCAGTGTTAAGTTTGATGTTTGTGTTTGAGTCATATAAATTGTCTGCTGCTATTTTGTCAATGTGTGTATATGACACAGAGTCCCATGTTGGCATGTGTGCATTTGCAATGTCATCATCAGCTTCATAATAATACAAGTTGAAAGTTTCTTTGCACTGTTTAATGGTGCTTGGATCTGAATGTTGAACACAACGCCGCATGGAAAATCGGATTTCTATGCGTAGACTGTTGGCTCCTTGTCGATGTATGTAAGGAGTCCTTAACCAGTTGTCAACAGTTGAACTACTGACTGAACAGGAAGAGAAAATTCGGATGATGTTCCCATTGTCTCTAAAACTGCCTTCTTTCCACTGAAAAATATAGAGACGTTATTAAATTAAATAAATGTGCTGTCTTATGCTTTTCATAATCAGGATTTCTAGCACATTGAATTTTGTAAATTATAAATTCCTATTGGGTTTTTTTTGGAACTTGGTTAACTTTAAAGTCTATTCTTAGATGTTCATAATAAAATGTTGCTTCTTTATCTTCATTGATGGGACAGCATGCACACTATGTATCAAAGAAGCAATTTTCTTAATTATATCTTTACAACAACAGCAGTCAAAAAATTAATAGCTTGGATTGTCCTAGCCAGACATATGTCTTGGACTCCATCTGATAAAAATGTCAGAAATTCATCTTGCATTCACAAGTACCACACAACCGATTAGGGCTCAAATTCCCCCTGATCCAACCAAATCAAGTCACAAGTCAATTCTCACACCTTAATTAATTCTTATACCATAAAGGGGACTCAGTCAGAAGGCAAACTTCAAACACCCTGTTATGGACAAAATGCTATCAACATCCTCATATGTAGGATAAGATTACTGCTACAATGTAAACACCTTCTATCTTTTGGACATGGATAGGTTTTGGCAGTGGAAAGGGAATTCAAATACTACTTTGTCACTGTCAGTGCCCCTATCACATATTGATACAACAAATGCAACCGAGATACCCTGGTATTTCTTTGATGCAAGTGTTGTGTGTCTTAATCCCCTCTGACAGTAACCTGTCCAAGTGGCAAGAGAACCTTAAATTAACTTCAGTGTGGTATGCAGGCTACAAGCAAAAATCAAAATTCATACAAGATTAACCTTTAACAGACTCAATATCATATACACAAACAATTTCTAAAAGACTTGTTTTGGAGAACCAATTGAATTTTTTTCCTCCATATTAGCCTCTATGAAAATGGGTTCTAAGTGTATTTATGCTCTTGGATAAATACCAAAGAAAAACAGGCAGAGAGCAGGAAAACTTGTTACAAAGAGGTCAATATTGTTGTAACTGTGCAATACTCTATATTGACAGTTCCTTCAGCAGTGTTCAATACTCCAATCCATTTACAAAACATGCCAGGCCTATGATGGGAAAATCAAACTACTAGCTGTCCAAGATGAAAGGCCAATTGCTTTAGTCTCAAAAATAATAATGACCCTTCAATTTCTCCTAAATTGAATGTATACTACCTCCTACCTTGTGTATATATGCATTTACTTTTTGAAAAGCAACTACAAGACTATGTCACTCTCTGTTATTCTTGTATCAATGTGGCACAAGGGATGTCTGTTTGCACCAAATGTGTGAATTTAAAATTTGTATGTTTTATGGAGTATTCCAAATGCTACCCATTTACAACCAAAATTCAGGAAACCTAAAGATTTTTCAAACAAAAAAAAAAACAAACAAAACAAAACCAAAAAAAAAAAAAAACAAAACAAAACAAAACAAAAAAACAACAACATGAAAATAGAACATTTGAGTGAATTGAACTGATTCCACATAATTTAACTGTAACCATATACCCCTGACATTACTTTATCACCCTAACCCATTTCACTTGTTTACAGATATAGAGCTAGAGATTTCATTTGAGTTCCAGTATAGGAATGGTACATCATAAATCCTGCCAGGGATACGATCATCCCTAGCAAATTCAATTATCAATATACAGATATCAACTGAACTTCAACAAGAGACCAATTATAGGGGCAGCTTCATCAATTCTATACAAATTTATCACTATTGATTCTCCATAGCCCCTGACTAACATGACAGTATATTCACCCACTACTTACACTTGGTTATATAATGTGTTTGTTTCTATTACATAAATCTAGCTTTTTTTCTGACATATTGAACCTTTGCAAATGAAAGTGTCTAATATAATGTCAACTTAATTATCAATGCACAAATTACAGTTATATAAATTACACAAGTTGCAGCTAATTCTTATTGAAAGCTTAAGATAAATTCAACTATGTAATGGTATTACAAGCTACAGACTTTGATGTTAATATAATGATATTTGTTCACTTATATTATACATATACAATGTATAAGAGTGACCTTTGCCTGAAGTATTGAAAGTGATCACAGTCATTTGATGAATGAGGGATCTATCCATCAGTTCTGTAATGGCTTTTCAAACTGAATCTCTAAGTCATATACCAGGGATGGGGGGGGGGGGGGGGTGGATGTATGATCATGCTGTGTATTGTTGATTACATCAGAGACTTTCACAATTACCATCAGAAACCAAAATATGTCTTCCTCAAAAAAGATTTACACTTTATAAATGACCACATCTATCATAATGAGCTGTCATTCATCATTCAAACGCATAATAACATCTATTCCACATGTACATCTTTTCAGAGGGGATTAAGGAAATTCCAACAAGAATCCAATTTACAAGGATGCATCGCAAGATAACATGTGAACTGGAATGTGTTTATACTCCAACATGCTCGTATAAAAATGGGTTCAATTCCCTCCCCCCAATTCCCACAAAAATGTATATGATGACATGCAATAGGTGTGATGTTAATCATTTCAGGAAGCCAACATAAGTGTGAAATTACACATCAACACCATCGCACAGGAACAGAAAATCTCTGATTAATTCTAAACAAAGGAACTAAGTCCAACCTCATAATTACTGAAGCGCTAATTAAAGGAAGGTATTATGTCAGACAAAGTTATACATCAATGTCGAGGCCAGACCTATGACATACCTTTAAAAAAAATATCCCCAGAGCACAACTAATCAATCTTCCATCTTATCAATATTCTGCTAAAAACACACAGTAAATATTACTGGCATGTCTTCCTTAGAACTGCCTTGTTTCTGTAAATTTTAAAGATTTTGACTGGGTTTTGGGGCCTACTTTGGTGTAGTTCCATTAGCTACTTGGGCTCCCTATTCTCCCTTGGGGCGGATTTCTCCGATTTTACTGCCAAAGGTTTGTGAGGTTGGAGAAGAACTCTTCAGCTGATTGAATTAGCTACTGAAGGATAACTAATTTTCCATCCATTTGTGTTTTTAAAAATGTTACTACTTTAAAACCTGGTGCAATTTTCAATCAAGAGTTATTTTGTAATTTCCATCAATTTCTCAATTTTCACATCTGTTTTTGTTTTCTGTTCGAGTGTAAGAAAAAGGAACTTCTAAGTCTCTCTACTTGTAGCCTATGCACATGTAAGTGTCAAATATAAAAAATGACCAATTAATGCCTCTGAAAAGTAAATCATTTCACGATGAAACATTAGTTTTCAAAAATGCAATTATCTCCTTTAAAATATAGATAATTGCCTATGAAAAGAATTTATGATTGAATTGAGCTTTAAAGATCAAAGAAAACAGAAATTTGAATTCAATAAAAGTCTTCTCATTTAAAGGCCATGTTAGGCCGCTGGGATTTCTTATAAAATTTCATTTTATCTCCCCAGAGGCTTAACAGTTTCACGAGTTCTATAGATATTGCAATAATATGCGGGGGTACAATGATTTTTTTCTAATAAATTCAACTTGAATATAATCTCCTCTGTGTTCAAATACTCAAATGTGTGGCAGTTCAAACATCTTCAGCCAGTCTTTGGGTAAGGTGAAGGGTGAATTCCGTGTCAGATTTCCCTGTCTATGACAGACTGTGAAATATGGAACAATCTACCCTTGTCACCATCATAACAACCGCAAGGTATTGCATGAAGCAATTCCCACATTTGAACAATTATTCCCCTCAAAGTTTTCCTTGAGTACAAAAGCCTTTGACAGCTAGCAAAAATAAAATAATTCCTGATATCGTCTACAATAATATTCTTTCACATTCAGACAACTTTTTCATAATGCCCTCAAGACTTGAAAATTATTAAATAGGAGGGAGAGTCATAGAGAAGTTTTAAGCATTCAGAGTCCTTCAGCAAGAAAAGTGCACAAAGAATATGTTTGTGTGTTTAATGATTTTCTAATCCCCCTAAAAAGTACACTATACTTTGGAAAACAGTAGGTGTCCAGGACATTGAGTCCAACGTGAGACAACATCGAAACCACCTTGGCGCCATTCCTATGAGGGAGTCCCAATAATTAGGAAAACAAAGGCCAGGATAACAATAGATAGTGCAAATCTACCACCAGTTCATTTAAACACTTGAAGTGACAAAAATAATAAAACAAACAGGCCCAATCTCAGAGTCAGAAGCTCTTCTCAGCAAGACAGGAACAGATAACTGCATAACTGAACCCTCCGTATATCTGTATGTTTGTGAGCATAGTTGGTGACAAGGAACAGTTATGGCCTACACTGTGTTTACAACCACCCCAGGTAGCAGCCAGTTTGCTTGGAATGTGGGACAGTTTAATCCATTGGGAGATAGGATTGTGCTATCTATACAATGATGTGTATCGGGACTTCTGACCCTAGATAACCTTATAAAGATCATATTTGTTGTAGAAAAGCCAGTTCTGATAATAACCCAGCCCAAATGACAGGTCATTTTGACAAAGTAGCACCTATGTAGCCACTGATTTGAACTTTATGTTAATGGACGTCACAGGTTATGCAAGAATTTGTTTGCAAGAATCAATTCTATAATGATATTCAGAATGATTTTCAGTCATGCTTTTATCTGGGTTACCGAAATTTCTATTTGTTCCATCAGTAAAAAATAAAGTAGAAAAACATGTTTCTCCTGCATCCTTAGGTAATAAAATTGCTGCAGGTACTCCATCATATTTCAGAACTTTTGAGTCACATATAATGATTTGGCACCAAAAGTAATCAAAGAGGGTCATAAACCTCATGGACTTGTGTTATTTGATCTTGTTTCCTGACATATGAAAAAAATTTAAATGCATTAAATTGTGTCCCACCTATGAATTTTATTGTCCCATCCCAGCAGTTGCATTTTACCCCACCAAATGTGAACCCGAGGATTCTGATGCAGAGCTGTGATAAATGTCAGTATGAATACCATGGAGGGAGACCGAGTTTTTTATAATGCAATTCCCTGTTTTTATGAC